CTGCCATTCCGAGTGAATGTTTGCTGAATTTGCGTTACGTGCCCGGCCGAATTTGAGCGATATTTTACAAACGCGCGTTATTGATATTTCAACTTACGGGGCGCCTTTTTATCGCTTCTACGTATTCCCATTCCACGTCAGCTGTGATTCGGTTGCTCGCGATTCGCACTCACTAAATCAGTTAAAAATCTTTTCGGAGATTCAGGCAGATAGAAATGGAAAGAACATGTGAAAGGAAGGGAACTGAAGGAACAGACTGAGCTCGCTTTAGCCGACGTTTTAGGCAAACGTTCTTAGACGGAGACTATCTTCTCATCGAGTGTCGATACAGACAAATTATCGTTACAGTTAAGTTATCGTTAAGTGTTGTAGCTAGGTGATATAGCTAATGACTAATATTGCGTTAATAATAAACCGACGCTAAATAAGCATTGCACGCTTATCCAATGGACTATTTGTTTCAACGCGTTTCGTCCGCTGCAATGCAATCTTCCTCTCGCGCACGACTATCGAAATTTACGACACTCAATTCACTATTGAAAATACCGACGATGTTATCATTCCGCAAATCATTCTTATTCGCCGAATAACTGCAGTCAATCCGAAGCGAGGTCGTTTCTTTTACGTAAAACCGGAGGCCCGACCGCGCTCTAAATTCAAATCATAAAGTTTGGTAAGAGACCGTCTCTCGTCGCCGAAACGGTTGCTCTCTCTCTCTCTCTCTCTCTCTCTCTCTCTCTCTCTCTCTCTCTCGCTCTTTCCCCTGCCGCGCCCCCCCTCCCTCTCACTCTCTCTCTTTCTCGTGAACCATGTGCGTTCAACGGCGCTCAATTTGGAGATTGGTGTCCATTGGAATTGGAAATGAAATTTCGTAGACGTACAAATAGGGGTGAACACAGGGTTGCAACACGTTACCCTGGTAAAACGCGAGAAACGTACCATGTACACGGCGTGTATGTACACCATCGATTTTGCGGCGACCGATTTATGTTTATACGTACGGATTCGCCGCTGCAGAATCAGTACGAACGACGCTAAGATGCGAGAGAAAGAGGAAGTCATGCGCGTGCTTTCGTCTCGTTATCATCATCACTATATACATATATGTTCGTTCGAAATTACAAGTATCACGACGATACGTATATAAATGCCGAAACGATCTTTGAAAAGAAACAAGGTATAAATTAATGTCGCCAATTATTTCCATTATTAGAATTATAGTGTGATATTATAATTATAGAAGGACCATATAAGTTTAATAAATCTCTGATTACTCGTCTACTTATATCTGTACTTGATATAAGAATTATTAATTCAGATAGTTGATGAACAGTCTATAAATACAACTCTATATTTAACTATACTCTCGATATGAAAAATCAATAATTTATTATAGCAATTAGGAATACCGGTGTTCTAAATTTGAAGAATTTAATGCACAACTCTGAAATTAACCTTTCTTTAAAACTCAATATAGGGAATGCATAAAAATAGAACGATATTTCATATAACTTGATATTTCAAGATTCTTCATCGATCTTTCAAGTTCGGACAGAATTTACTGTCTGGAGGGTTACCGTAGAACCAAAATTTCGTCTCCTTAATGAAAAATGACTGCTTTTATTAAGGAAGATATACTTAATGGCTTGTCTATGATTCAGACTGACAGATGTCTGCCTCGCAATGAATTTCGTGAAGAGGTTACTAGAAAGTTTCCTCACTCCCTCGCGTTTCCTCTCATTCCCCTCATCATCACGGTGTTACAGATGTTAATGCCAGCCTGAAGCGCGCAACACAGACAAAAGCGGAAACTCGAGACAACCTTAGAGTCAAACGTCTCTGCGAGGATGTAGCGGAGTTTAATCAGAGTAAAGTGTGCGGCGAAAAGTCATCAACTTCCCAGTATTTCGCCGTGATTTATCTTCCGAGCAATAAAAAGCCTCGCTAGCGTTCTACGGTAGCCTGTAGCCGGTATATGATGCATAGTGTTAATAACGTTCGTTCTTTCCTTCTTACTCACCTCGATGGTGCCACTGTTCTCTCGTTCTCTCTCTCTCTCTCTCTCTCTCCCCTCTCCATCCCTCTCGTCCTCTCGCAGCCTCTTTCTCTCCTGCGTGCTCGCCCGTACTCGCCAAGTTCCTTCCGCGCCGCTTTTTCCCTCGCCATCCATGTCTCTTGCTCCCATCGCCGCCGTCACCGCGACATCTTTCGCGTCTCCTACCTCTAGCGGCAGCTTCTTCCCTCGATCCCCAGATTGGAGCTGCGTTGGAAAAATATATGTACATGAATATATATTCCGTTGAGAGAAAATCTGCACTTAATCGTGCATAAGATCTGTTCACCGCGCTAAAATCTTAAGGTACATAGTATGCGCGGCATATACGGTTATGCACACGATATTTTAAGCTTCGTTATTTTTCACTACTTTTCTTTTTCACTGTACTGCCAGCGGATTTTTCTCTTCAAGATAATCCACGAACGAACTCGAGGCTATTTCTTGGTAACCGAATTCGTTTTCCTATCACATTTCATCCTCTTACGTCTCTTTTAACGGTATTTCATCTATTTTAATGCAGCGGGACACTGGGATATCTTTTGATATTTAAAAACGGATACCGTCCTTTGAGCATAATCAAATTTATTGTCGACGGCATCCCGTAATAGGAAAAATGTCAACAGCCGAAGATTATTTTCCAATATCTATTCGCGAAAAAAAAACAGTTAAGAGAGAAAGAGATGAAGAGACGAATGAGAATGCGGATGGACGTTTCTCGGTTTCTGCGTGCGACTGAAAAATTAAACAGAAAAATTCCACATTGCGCGTTCCTCATGCCCGGCGAGCCGCGCGAGGTGACACGGAATTACGTATAATAACGCGCGTCTCATTGGCCGATTCGGAATTTCTCGCTTCATCGGGATCCAATCGATACCGTGGAGTCGGTAAATTAACGACGTATAATATCGTGCATTATGTCGCTATAAAGATAATTGCGGTCAACAATGCGAGTGCAAGTATAATGAAATTTACAAATCCAGGGCGAACGGTATTAATGGCACAAATGATATTGTTACATTATCCGATACATGTTTAAGCGGCGCTCATTCACGGTAAAATATCCGTGACGTGTACACTCGCGTTCGCGCGCGGGAGGACGAGAACGCGCGAGAGCGGAGAGGCTATTGAAGGGGTCGTGTTGTACGTTTTCAAAGACTGCCATTGCGGGCTGTTTAATCCTTCGAATTGAATAGCATCACGTTTAAAACGTGTCGTAAATGTAATAAACTAGGCCGCGTGTATTTCGTAACGATCTGCTCGCGCCGTGACCGTTGAGAGCAGACTCCCTCGTTTGTAATTAATCATTCCCAAATCAATTACAATCGCGTACCCGATACTTTAAACGCGAATAATGCGTATGTATCTCTTCGACGCTCTTTACGAACTCTGTACGACTATGTTAACGTTCGAAACGCGTCTCTTTCATGCGAACATCCGCGTCCGATCGAGACTTAGATTCGAACGTTAAACGTCCCGCATCGTCCCGCTCGCACCTGCGAACGCAGGTGCCGACATAAATGCGGACGTGTATATACGCGAGTCACAATGGAATATTCTGTTGATACGAGGCGATATCTCTCCGCCGTCCGGAGACGGCGACAACAACAGTGGCGGCGGCTGCCGACAGACCTAAACAACGACGAGCCCTTATCGTCTTCTCGTATTCTACCTCTATGTCACCTATCGTCGCAACCATTGCACATTAGAACACTCGCCGTCTTGCGGCTGCACAAACTGTGTTCTCATATGCGCAAACGGCCAAGCGAATAAGCTACCGCACGAATCGACAGCGAAGAAATCATTCGAGAATTCAGTCGCGGGAAACGCTTAGGCCCTTTGCACAATGCCAGGCAACAAGCAATAAGAATAAAAATAGACGAATTACAATCGACTATTACAAGAATAATCTATTGTGATTGGTCTATTTTTATTCTTATTGCCTGTTGCCTGGCATTGTGCTAGGGGCTTTACGAGTGCGTTCGTAACCTCGAAAGTTAGCCAAGTTGCGTATTCTGTTCCGGGATGATTAAACTTTCACGATCCTCTCGTCTTATACCGGAAAACAGGCTTCGAGAATTAAGTGTGCAACGTCTCTGTTTTATTACTTTTATTACTTGCGATGCAATTAAATATGAGAAAAGGAGCAAAATACAGAGTATTCATATATACGTCTTGATTCCGAGAGAAAGAGGAGCCATTTTGTTAATTGGCTCGCGAGAATTGAGATAGAAAAATATCTACAGAATCTCGAGTCATGTTCATCTCTTCATCTTGATTCTAAAGAAGTTTGTTCGTTTGCGAAGAACTTCTGAACGAATGCACACTAGTTCAAAAGTTCTTTAAAAACGAAAAGTCCTCGATTTTTTTTCAAGATGAGTTCTTATCGATTGTCTTTACATTCGCGCGGTTTATCGTCATTATTACCGTAGCGAAGTTTTTTAACCTAACTTATGGGTTATGGCAGGTTCAAACTGACGTCGAGCAATTTCTCTCTAAAAGCAGTTCATAATCACAACGGAAATTGAATGGAACTGTTCTACAGGTGCACAAAGCGCATAAAATCAAATATTCAAAGTAATTTCTTCTAAATGGGACTTAATTTTGTAAAATGGCTTACCTTCGCTGTGGAAATAACCTCAACCTGCAACGCGCGAATTGCATTTTCGCTTGTACGCGATTCGGGAGACCGACACGTTTCTTTTCTCGATTATTCGCCAAGCACGGCGAGATATTACGACACTGTAGCGCAATTTTGTGAGTGATTTAGCATTGCGCTTTATTAAAATACCGAGTCAACGGGAAACCATCCGATGCATCGTGAGCCGAAGCGCGAAAGGAAAGATTCAGATATTTTTGAATTTATATTACGGTTTGGCAGCGTCGTGCACTAGCCTGGTGGCGCCATCTCTACACAGAAGTATGTCACTACGTACCAAGTGATTGACAACACAAAGCGTATAATAATGGCGGCTACTGTATGATCATTCAAACATGACAGAACTTAGGAGTACAAATTAGGCACCTATGATATAAGGATTTCTGTGTAAAGCGTGTCTAAAAAGAAATTTCAGATATGGCCGGTGCTATGAGACAGCTAGAAGTGCGACAACTTCCTGCGGAAGTAAGAGCGATGCAATGGTCACCAAAAATGGATCTCTTAGCAATCACCAACGTAAAAGGTTAGAGCCTAACAACCGGCAGCTTTTAGACTATTAAAATTAAAATTTAGACCATTAAAATTATTTAGATTCATTGGATTTATTCTCTTCTTCTTTCTAGTCCTGTGTTTCTCCTAAGATAAAGATTCTATTCGACTTTAATCAACTGTAATCAAGGGAATAGCTTCAGAAAAACTTTCAGTCATCATGTTCCATTATGTTCTATTATTATATTACAAAACATTGCAGGTGAAGTTGTTCTTCATAGACTTACGTGGCAAAAAGTTTTGTTACTAAGCCCACAAGATGAATCGGACACTATCGCCCATCTGGCATGGAGACCAGATGGAAAACTTCTTGGTGTATGTTATGAGAATTCCAAGCTGCTCTTTCTCATTGATGTTGAAACTAAAAATGTTATTCATAAAACAAAAATGCCAACAAACGACTCAACTGTCTGTATTAAATGGCTACTACTACCTAATATAGAATGTGACAGTTCATCAACAATTGATAAAACTGATATTTCACCTACGGGTGATTACTTGCCACCCTTGCCAGCTTTAAACAGAACCTTCAATCAGGAACCAGAACGTAAAGAATTTCTCACACATACTTTGGATATGCTGTATGTATGTATCACAAAAGACAATTTGTTGGTAATCGTATGATTATTGCAAATAATATCGGAAATTATATGTACCATTTTTAGGTTGGCCAAGAAAATGGAACAGTATTGATGTATATTTTTGGTATGTTTTATTGTGGCACTATTACTGTGGGCCATGGGCCAATTTTACAGATCTCAGGTGGATCTGAAGGTCCAATGTGGATTACATGGAGAGACAAAAGTTGCATTAAAACAACCAGAGTATCCTGTCCACTATTGGAAAGGAATATAGCATTTTTTAAGGTTCTTTATATATCTTATTGCATTTGTAATATAGATTATAAAAAGGAGTTCTTTTTTGAAGTAATATAAGTAATAATTTAACATTGTATTAAGAAATATAAATCATGAAAGCTCATACATTTTGTTCTTAGATTGCACAAATTCAAGCCAATATAGAATGTTTAAAAGATTATCTTTCACGTACCTTAATGGCCACTTCTGAAGCATGGGAAACGATACTCTTAGAAATGGATGAAAAACTCACACGTTATGCAGAAGCAAATCCACCAGGTGGTATGCCTGCAGATTTCTTGGAACTACTAATGATTGGAGTACCTACAAAAAATGTAGAGAATTTTCTACTTCGAGAGCTTACAGAGAAGGGATTAAAAAAATTTGGTCACAGCATTGAAATGTGTTACGGTAACATACAGGTATTGTAAAAGATAATATAGAATAATACGTTACTTATTGAATGCTGAAATGATCTTTTTTTTTTTGTTGCAGAAATTGGTGTCGAAAAATTTAACCAGCGTCGGCATGGCACTGATTTATCAGTTAGCCGAGTTGAGAGGATTAGTGAGAGTAGGTGGCCCTTACGAGGCGATAGGATTGCGCGATGAAACACTCATAACTAATGCAGTAAACGAAGCCGAAGCTTTCTTAGCAAAGTCGTATGAAATAGAGCAAGTCATAGATCAGAGTATGCGTAATTACAAAGCATTTTTTCGGTATGTATTAGAAATTTTGTCAATTAATTTGCTGTTAATGCTTTTAATCTTTCATTTTAGTTGGTTATATGTAGCCATCCTGCAACTAACAGACGAAAGGATACCACCGGAAGTAAGTCGTGTGAGCCAGCAAGAATTAACGTTCATTGCCGAATTTTTGCATGGTTTTGACAAGACCGTGTCCGGAACAGATGGCAGAAGAGTGGTAAATCTAGAAAAATTAGGCCAATATCTGCGTCATGAGAATCTGCAGACTTGTTTGACGCCGGAGGGAAGCGAATGGGCTGCTCTGCTCGATACAAATGACTGCTTACGCGATTACGCGCATATAGTGAAGCAGGATTTCAACTTATCTCTTTTGCAATCTCACGCGAAATTAGTCACAGCCACACAAAATGTTTTTACTGAATCCTATCAGAGCTTGGTCGATCATTTCGCGATGATATCGACATCTTTGCCGTCACTCGTGTCTCTCATATCCTCGCAAATTGTAACGAGCGATGGAAATCTCTTAGTGGCCATGAGCGAAATCGGCAGCAAGTCTATCAAACTTTTCAAAATCGAATATTCGTCCACGGAACCTGCGTCACTCGGCTCGAAAATGATGACAATAAATATGGATCACGAACACGGTGAATTACATAGCTGAAATTAAAAGTTTATACATCCATTATATAATGAAAATAATTAACTTCTCTATATTCTATATCTAGGTGAATATTCAAAGGGAAGCCCCAATACTGTGATAGTGGATTTACAGTTTTACTCGCTAGATTATCTCAGCTTGCTTACACTGAACAAACAAACTCACACGACGTTCCTCATACAAGTACCATTACGGGACACATGCGTATTTGATTATCAAAATGATGATACGGTGACTTTGTTCGATATTTACGGTGTGACATGGTCAAAACCGTTCCAAGGAATATCCAGGCGACTAGCAGTCAGCGGCGCTCGGAAAGTAGCTGCTATTCTGAGCGAAAATAATAGGAAAATTCGGTTATTTGAGACTGAAGTAGAACCTGAGGATGAGGAAGACGATGAAGATGACGAAACTGGGATTGAAGATAGCATGATGGATGCTACATCCAGTGCACCTGTGGAAGTTTCGTAATAACAAGAGTATAGATAAAGAAGTGTAAATAAGATACAATCAAGGTATGAGTAATGTACATATATCAAATAGATTATAAATGCGAATAGTGGCTATGCGGAGAATTTTGTTTTCACCATCATTTATTAACAAATTCAACTTCTATTTGACTTACTTCAATCGTCATATAAATATGATATTTTGTACATGTCTAAGATATGTTTGCTGTCGTAATTAATAAACTAAATACTGTTTGTACAATAAGATACAGAGCAATACATTGTACAATAATAAAACTTTTTTTTCCTTATCTGAAAATGGAACAAAGCATTTGCATCAAGTGCGCTATATAATAATACTATGTTGTGTAATAATCTCTCTTATTCTCTCTCTTTCTTCTGCAATCTATGGCATTGCTTGTTCTTTCTGCATTTGTTTAAACACTCTGGGGAAATCAATATCAAGAGCAGAATTATCGACTCCACCACTAACTTCAGCAGTTGATGTAACACCTAGTGTATTATTGGGATGGTACCGTGCAGGAGAATTTTCTCTTGATTCTTCCAAATCTATAAAAATAACTGAAAGGTAATATCCATTGTCCGTACTTTTTTTTTCTATATCTCCGTACTTTATTTTCTATATAATTCTATATTTTTCTATATCTTGAGAAAGATATCTTGAGAAAGATTTACCGAAAAATTTTTGGCTTCTCTTTCTCTTAACGGTGATAATTAGAAGAACAACGGCTACAGCAACAACTATCACCATTACAGCAGACAATCCTCGTAATAAATTTGTCTAAACAAGAAGTATATTTAAAAATAAAATGTAAAGAATTACAGTTATTTTCTTTTGCATATATTGCCTTATGGTACCTCAAAATCAGTTTCCCAAACATCTTCCCAATCTTTCTTAACTACTAATTCAACAGAGTGAATCTTGAAGCTGGATTCATCGAATAATCCTCTTGAAACACATTTGTAAAAACCAGATTCTGCTGTTGATACGCCCTATAAAAATTATAATTAAATTGCTCTTGTGAAAAAAAAAAACTTAAATTTTACATTTAAACACTTACTCTGATCATAAGTTTGCCAGTCAGTACCTCGTAATTATATTTCTTTTCATTTAAAGAATTTCCTGGTCCGATAACGTCATTATTTCCAAATTGCCAGAACATAAAACGGTGATGATCGTCAATACTTAAACATGGAAGTTCAGCCAAATGTCCGGCTGTAACTTCTTTCACTGTTACATCATCTATACTTTCCGACTTTTGTAGTATAAGTGATGAATAAAAAAATATAAAAAGCCACATGGTCACCTGAAAAACGATATTCCGAACATTTATATAAACTTCTCACAAAAAACTCACTTAGTTTATAAGTTATACATAAAATGATATAAAAAATATACATCAAACAAAGAAAGATATATCTGTTACTGGCTATCACACACTTTTGCTATCACTCTTCCAAGATTAGCCAAAATATATTTATATGTGAAATTATATTTCAATAAAATTGTATAAAAATTACAATGTAAGAAAAAATCCTAAACTAGAAATATGTGCAATTTGCACACTCTACCACAACCAATGTTAACAGACTGTTGGTTGTTGCTAGCCTCTCCTCTTTCATTCCATAATTATATTCTAATTACATGGATCACCTTTTTCTCCACAGCTGTAATGCTGCAAAACCAGTTTGTTCTTCACAGATGGTTGTCACAGTAATTATTCAATACACAACACAACACAAGGTGAGAGACTATATACCGATTGAATGTTGTGTAATCACAAAAGAGCAACTTTCTTGCAATTGCTCACTGCTTTTATTATTTTTATATAATAACTGAACAGAGACTATTAATGGTACTAGTATAAATTAACAATTTTTATGATATAATAACTCTATTCACCAATGAGCAATTTACTACAACATGCACTGCCATAGAGTTACTTATTTTTAACTCTGTCCTATTTGGCCTTGTGCAATAGTAAGTATTTATAGTAAACTACTGTATGTATCTAATAACTACGATATGTTCTCAGATTCTGCTGTAAATCAATCTACTGATTTCTTTTAGAGAAAGAAGTCTGGTACTATCAGGTACTTGGTTTAAAACAACAAAGATGGAACATTCATATACACATGTAAATATTTTTATATAATGAATATAATTTAATATACATTACAACATAATGGATATATTTATACAATAACAATGTTATACTAGAATATTATCACTTAATTCATAATTAACAATTGTGACAAGAGTAATTGTATACTTTATTACAAAAATTACAGCACAGTATCCGTAACATATTAATGGATTAATTCCTTACATTAAAAATTAAATTATTTAGTATTTTGCTTTTAATGATACATACATTTCTTTAGGTAACTTAGGAAGCAAAGTTGGATTTATCCATCGTCAGTATCTGGAGTGTTGTATTAAATGGATGAAGATGTCCACTGTTAATGCTGGAAGAAGCAACCAGAAAGGTGCCACTACTATTTTTCCAGGTAAAAACCAATGAGGTGCTTCAAGTTTGAGACAAATTAGGACTTTGGCGCACATGAACATAAGTACAATAGTCATGTACCATGCCTGAAACAAGTTTGTGATTGTTATATCACATTAAGATATTGCACTAAAATGCAAAACACTGATTTATTTAGATAAAACTAAAGCTATAGATATCTTGTATTTCATTAGTTTCTTTTTGTTATTTCTATACTTCCATAAAATAACAACATGAAATGTTTACATATCTTGACTGTGGGAAAAAAATTCTTGAATACTTACTTTTCGATGCAGACTGATAATATGCCTATTAAGCGGATTCTTGCAGTGTGAGATCATGTTGAAAACAATGTATATAAGCAGAAAATTATCATAGAGCCACAATGGGATGAAAACAATAAACCAATTCCATTGTATCTTCTGATCAAGTCTCAGGGCCAGCACAATCATAAATATGAGCACATTGAACCACGCAAACAAGGCGCGATGCAGAATCGCCATGGAAGGATTTTATTTAAAAAGAAGTAATAGTGCACTATTATAAAATTATTATATATTTGTAGTTACTGTGCATTTGACAGTTCTAACCTTTCACAGAGAGAGGCCAACAATCCATGTTACTTGTAGATTTCCTGATTTATCGACAAAGCCTCGTCGGTTATGATAATACTGTGAAAGAATGTAAGATAGCGCTACGTATTCCATAATTCTCCCAATGGGTTCAATTGCTGCATAATTATTATACCATTATACAGGTACAAAAGATTGGTGTGGAAAAATATCTGTTCTTTATGCCTGCGTTTCTTCCAATTTCTTTCTCTTTCGGTCCTTTCCTTCTTGTTCTCTCTAATATCAATATATACTTCTCTCACATTAGACATAAAAACAATTATATAATATGCTGCTAAAAAAATACAATTATCTAACAAAGATAACGAAAAGATTTTCCTTACTAATATTTTATGAAATTTCCTCATGTATTTATACGTTACAATATTACGTATGTATCTATATGTTACAATATTTTGTGAGCTTTATGAAAGTCTGGCTATTAAATTCAAAATGAAGTATCATGTTTAAATTTTACATCGTAATTTACGGTAATTTTTAGTGTGGCATTATTAAGACTAATAAAACGTAAAACTGTGAGATTATCTTTGAGTTGTCAGAAATAAACGTTATGGCCCATATTCAGAACACGCTTGTAACTATGTCAGCGCGCTGTTAACCAATGAAAAAACCAATGAAAAGCCATGCAATATGCCTTCAGTGGTGCGATTCTGTAACTCGTTATTGGAGTTAACGACAGTTTCGTTATTGTTGCGCAGCTTTTCTACGGTATACAAAAGCTGCGCAACGATAACGAAAGTGTCGTTAACTCCAATAACGAGTTACAGAATCGCGGTACTGATTAGTTATATAATAATATATAATAATAGTTCTGAATATGGGTCTATAAGTGTGGTATCGTGATATCAACAACCAATGAAATTACACATATAAATAAACGTCATTGTGAAATCACCAAGAAACAGTAATGTAACTCAGACATGTTTTACCATAGATACATACCACTGAAAGAACAGAAAGAACACTTAGGAAAAATTACTTTAAATTTTCAAATTAATTTAAAATTACCTACAGTTAACTGTAAGTAATTTATAGTAACTTATATAAACTATAAGTAACTTTAGGTAACTATAAGTAACTTTAAGTTAATTTGAACATCTTAAAGTAATTTTTCCTAAGGGAAAAACTCTAACAGATACAAAGGAACAAGGAAAAGAAGAAAAAAAGAAATGAAAACCAAAAAGGTAAATTAATAAATAATTTTCCTTTTATATTTTCTATTGTAATATTATATATGTAGTTTTACATTTTGTTTCTTTTATTTTTATTAGTAATTTATTGATATAAGCTGTTAAAAGTGAAACTAGATAAGATGAAAAAAATACGTTCAAAGTTCACATTGATTAAAATTCATGATATTTTTATCTGTTCCTCCGTCAGGAAAAGGGAAACTTAAATGTTAGTTACACCGTTGCCGAGTAATCATCAATCATACGTCGTTTGTGTTCTCATTGCGTGATACGTTGGTCTCTCGTCATTTTCTTTCCAAGAATGGCAGATAAATTAGTATTTGTTCATACTTCGCCGGAGATACAACGTGCGTGAAAAATTACGAAACGTACAAAAACGTGCTTGTGCGGACGAAAACTTTGAATGCAACTGAAATGGAAAGTATGAACGCGACGGATTCTCAGGTACATATACCAGCTATCTATGTTAGGCGATTTTTGGCGATTATTTTGTACATGTACCAGGTTGTCACTGGCCTAGTTTACTAAACTAAACATTTAATATATGTACTAAATATTCTTAAAGCACAAGCGTCCAAAATATATTCCAGAGATATCCAAATATCTCTGAGACATTTCTATAATATATTTTAAACATTTATGCCGTATAGATATTTAGTACATATGTTAAATATTTAGTATGAACTAACCCAATGACAACCTGGTACATGTACCAAACGACCGCCAAAAATCGCCTATTATATCTATTGTGAAATATGAATGAATCGATCAGGTCACTTCAAAAGTATTCGCATATTATATTGAATATTCATATGGAAACTTATTTAAAAATAATCGCACTTCCATTGTTACAAGGGAAATCATTTCTTTTGCTCTATTTATAGCTTTGACTACTTTACATCAAGACAGTTTTAATGATTATATCAAATCTAGACGATGACATGTCTAGTAACAAGCATATTTTAATTATCAGAATATTTTCTCTTTTGTTTAAATAATTTTGTATTATTGTAACTATCTTTTGTCGACATTTTAGAAGCTCTAATGTTGATTATCTCGCTCTCTGTTATCGATTAAAACTCATAAGATTCCGTCATACCAAACTATGTAAAATTAATTTAATTTACCGTTGTACATTTGAAGTTTTTTTAATGTATAATCTGTAAAACTTATATTTTTTTATATGTAATCACTTCATAAAAAAATGTTGATATTAAGAATTATGGTATGTATATAAATCGAATATTGTGGGAGAAGTTTCGTTTCTCTTCTATACAAAATCATTCTAAAAAGAACAGAATGTATCATCATCTACTGTTCACTCACTTCAATTAGACAGAATTTAAATTAATACCGTTACCAACGACATACAAATCGGTACACGCTACAGTCTACCACGGCGACTATTCGGCATCGGCCGGTGACAAAGCATATGTAATGCTTCTAGTGTGACGTAACTATAAATACATGTGCCTAATAATGCCTATTCCCAAAACGCTAGAAGCGACGTCTATTTTAACAGATAAGCAAGTTTGGAGCGCGTTCCGATGACCTCATCCATATTTGTCCGCATAGACGCCGGTTGCAAGTCGCCAGCACGAGGCTAACTAGTTGTTCGAAGCGTTGTTCGAATGCAACGCAACTCACTCTTTGTCACTCTCTGACTGACGACCTCGAACTTTGAGACAGTTTATACACGATAATGAAGTAAACAACACGACGTTCTCAGTTACGGCAAATTTTAAACAATTACCGTGAGAGACAAAGTAGATTACCAAAAAAAAGAGAAAAGGATAGAATAAGATAGGAAAAAGGAGTGCTGTTGTGTTCCAAGAAATTGTATCTCGGGATAGGTACTGAGAGAGAAAAGGAAGTAGATCCTACGACTGCTCCAAGATCGACTCCTCACCGTGATTTAACCACTCTGTTGTTCATTCATTCGTTCATTCATTCGTTCGCGTTGCTCTTTAACCTCCCTTAGCACGTGCGTCCTCGATCACGATGTCACACGTACGAATATTGGTAAGTGTTTCTCCAAAGTAAAAACCGAACAATCGAACGCGATCTCGAGAATATTGCGAAACTACCGCGTGATTGTTGATTAGTTTCCACTTTAAATCATTCTGATATTCATTTTATTTTTTTTATCTCAGCAAGTGATAACTTTGAGTGTGAGAACGTTATATTATTTATATTAAAACATAATTTTATGTCCAGATGCTTCCAATCTTGGCTGCGGTAGGAACAATAATCGTTATAGGAGTTGTCATAAAGCTGTATAAATCCTGGTCGAATGAGAAGAAGAAGTCTGCTCCAATACTACTCGTGGACTCAGTAGTTAAATATAGCCTGCCTCTCATTCAAAAAGACATAATAAGTCATGATACAAGAAGATTCAGATTTGGATTACCAACGCCAAATCATATTCTTGGTCTGCCCATTGGTCAACATGTACATTTAACAGCAAAAGTTGAAGGAGAAGTTGTGATACGAGCATACACACCTGTTTCAAGTGACGACGATCAAGGCTATGTAGATCTTGTCATCAAGGTAAATAAAGTAATGTAGTAATAAGATAATAAAAAAGAAAATATTCTAACTAAATAGGACTTTTAGGTATACTTCAAAAATGTACATCCAAAATTCCCTGAGGGTGGAAAATTGTCTCAATATTTAGAAAACATGAAGATAGGAGATACCATTGATTTTAGAGGACCATCTGGCAGACTGATTTACAAAGGAAATGGCACAATTTCCATAAAACTTCTTAGAAAAGAGCCGCCTGTAGAATATAATGTCAAGAAGGCAAGTATATCCATTTGACATTAATGATTTATTTGTTTATTATTACTTTACTGTGTGACTGCTGACTGCTGACCTAATTTATTACATCTACGTCAGCTAACGTGGATTTTATTCTGAGATCTTTATTTGGACTCATCAGCCGATATTAGGAATCTATGGTGTCGACTGCGTTTACATTTTTTTTTATACATATAATATATATGTTTTTGAGTTAGATATTTGTATGCGGCTGATGATGACCAAATACTATGGTCGAAAGGTTCCGCGTAAACTACTGTAATGTAATTTGGATTGTATGTGCTGATCTTCTGCAATTCGAAATGACTATTGTCCTCTTTCTTGCAATTTTAATTTATATCCATCTGTTAAATTACAATGATTGAAATCTTGTTACCATCATGGCTAATAACTTTCTGTGCTTTTTAATAAAATAAATAATAAATCTTGCAGATCGTCATGCTCGCTGGTGGTACGGGTATCACTCCAATGCTACAGCTGATCCGCGCGATAATAAAGGACCCCACGGATGAGACACAAACGTCTTTATTATTCGCCAATCAGACTGAGAAGGACATTTTGCTGCGAGATGAACTGGACGGCATTGCCAAAGAATATCCAGACAAATTGAAACTTTGGTACACAATAGACACGAGCAATGACGGATGGCCTTACAGTACTGGGTTCATTAAAGCTGATACGATAAAGGATCACATGTTTCCACCATCTCCTGATACTATTGTGTTGATGTGCGGGCCAGCTCCGATGATCAATTTCGCTTGTACGCCGAATCTCGATAAACTCGGCTACGATTCAAAATTACGATTCGTGTACTAGTTGATTTGCCGCTAAAAACCATAAATAGTGAATCTGGCTGAAACTTGCAACGTCTTTAGTATTTCGACAAAGAACTATGAGCTTTTATGGTTTGGCTGTGAGTATATTATTTTGCACTTGGCGAAATATCTAATAACGCAAAATGGTGCCAATTTAAGAGTTGTTTGCTACAAATTTTCCGTGAAAACGCGTAAAATAGGTTCAACAGTATTGACGATTATTACGCAAGAATAATTAACTTACGTAATAATTAATCAACGTAGTTATGTTACACATGAAAATTTATGCACATTAATGTTGACATACAAGAGAAACAGACACTAGAAATATGTCCGGTTTTTTTATTTTCCTCTTGATACATATATATAAAATATGTAGAATTTAAATGGAGAAATAAGTTCAAGATGGAATTACACATGAATAATACACAATTACTTGCTTTACCATTGTGAAATATACTTTATTCAACTATGTGTTTACATTCTGTTTTAAAAATGATTTATATATAAACTGGTTGAATAAGGTTTATTGCTAACGTGTGTTATTCAAAGGAAGTGCTGTATCTCGAAGCATTTATTGACGTTGATACCGTTGTATTGTTATAAAAAACAGAAAAGTCAAACAGTATTCCTTTTTTTAATATATAATACCGCATTTAAAAAAGAGAAACAAGACCAAAGTACAAATTAAAAATATGATTCAAACGACGTTCGAAGAAACATGATGAGATATATTCTATATTTACTGTGACAATATATAGATATAATTAGTATATTAATATTATCAAATGCAGTATTATATCAAATAATATTGAAGTAACGAGAATTTATACAATTACTAAAGCATGTTAATCAATTTTGAAGACCACACGTCTGGTACGAAAAATTGCAAGCAACGTAGAACCCAAAGGACAATTTTTTTTTTTTTCTTGTAGTAGATTAACAACGTCCTCTGTCTTGTACGCGTTTCCTAGGAGCCGCGCGCAAGATATCATCCACGCGCAGTATCATCTCGGCCGCTTCGGCCGCGCTCAAGAGAACCTGTCTCTTCACCACCCACGATTCGGTAATTCCCAGTCGTTTCATACAACCAAGTTTGCCAGTTTCCATATCTGTAGGAATTATAAAACAGATTAGATTCTACATTCCAACGCGGAAAATCGAAAGACAATGCTTCGTGTCATAAAAATAGAATATCCTCGGAAACGACAAAGAAACAAATATCAAGAAAACTTACCTAATCCCATAGTGTTACCGCCAGAATTATGTGCGGCTCTTAGCTCACTGACCAGCTGGGCAGAGTCAAAGCCAGCATTGTCCGCGATAACAGTCGGTAGCTGTTGCAACGCCCGGGCGAATGCCTCCATGGCGACCGCCTCTTTGCCCGGAGTAGCTGCAGCCGCGCGCATCACGGCGCAGGCCATGATCATCTCGCTGCACCCGCCACCGTAAACTATCCTCGATTCGCGCACTGTAGCGGCCAAGACACAGAGCGCGTCATGCAGAGATCTCTCGGCCTCATCGATGATCTGTTGGGTTGCGCCGCGAATGATGACGGTGCACGCTTCTCCCAACGGGACTCCGGAGAATCTCAAAAGCGTATCTTCGCCTATCATGACCTGTGTGCATGGTTGAAACAATATAATTGAAGAATTTGCATTAACAAACCGTCTTAAATCGAGTAATAAATTTACCTGTTCGATGAGCTCGCACTTTCCGAGTCTCACCGCATCCGGATTATCGAAGGTGCTGACTATTTCTCCGCCAGTAACGAGCGCTAGTCTCTCAATACCGTCGAAGTCAGCGTGTTCAATCGCCATAACACCAGCATCGGCGAACAATTGCTCCGGATAATTGTAAATCAATTGTCTATTGATAAAGACGTTGCATCCATGTTTCACGATTTTGTCAACTTTGTCCTGAAATTGAAAATAATTGTATATGTGAGAAATGTCCAAATGATGTCATTGGATAGACATCTGACCTGAATATAATTATACATATGTAATGTGCATCAGGGAAATATATTGATTATATTTTCAAGTAAACAAATTTCGTTACCTTCATCTTCTCTTTTTCTGCAGCTTCCAATTCTGCAATTTTTGCCATCGAGTCCACACGCACTCTGGAACCAAATACCTGAACAAATAAATGTAGAGTTAATATATATATATATTTCTTATTGCATCTATATGCAAATATAAGAAAAGCATATACTTTGATCTTGTCTGTATCCATAGATGTATTAGCAATAAGTATGCGTGCATCAGAAACTTTCTGCGGTTGATGAACACCAGGCTTCTTGTCTAACAAGAAACCTTCATCCAAGAATGAGTCAGCAAGTGTCGCACCACGTTTCTTTATAACTTGTATCGCAGATAAATTGCTGGAACCTTTAAGTCGTAATACTGCATCTACCGCAAGTTTGCTGAAGTGTTCCTTGTGCTGAGACAAGATCTTTGAGCTCAATGTTGTACGCGCAATATTCATCAAATCCTCGCGAAAATGTTCAGGATCCCCAGAATTGTCTGCAGCAGCATTCTTTAGAGCCTCTCTTGCTACATTCACAGCATTTCTCCAACCAGAAATAATTGTCTGCGGATGTATCTTTTGGTCAATAAGCTTTTCAGCTTCTCGTAAAAGTTCAGCAGCTATAAAGATATGTGGAAATTATGATAAATTCAATTAAAAAAAAAATCAAGTGACAAATTTGCATAAATGACATACCAAAAACAGTGACTGAAGTAGTACCATCTCCTACTTCATCATCTTGTACACGTGACATATCTACCAAAATTTTGGCAGCAGGATTATCCACACCAACACTCTTGAGTATAGTAGCACCATCATTGGTAACTTGTACTTGTCCTGCGGATCTACCATGAGCAACAAGTATCTTGTCCATACCCTTAGGACCAAGAGTAGACTTTACAAGATCTCCAATAGCAATAGCTCCGACAAACAAGCTCAATCTGGCTATCTCAGCTTTTTCCTCCCCGGCTTCATTTTTGAGGATCCGTACTGGATTTAGAGAAACCTTACAACAGAACAAAATGATCTAATAATTTAATTATATACTTAAAATATAATTCACATCTTAAATTACTTTGAAATGAGATAACCATTACTTTTCTGAACGATGACATCAAAATGGCGAGAACTGAAAATTAGTTTAAGAAATGACTGAAAGAAATCATTCCATAATTTTCATCGCGTATATATAATACAGATAAAACAGTGATTAAGTTCAACAGAAACCATGTGCCATGTATATATATATTTTCTTAAGGTAAAAGAGAGACCGGCTCCTTCGATCGAAACGATCGCTGACGCTATTGCGATTTTAAAGCAGTATATATTGAAGAAGTGTATCGCACATTGACTTACCATTTTGAATTGACGTGGAGAACAGCAATCTGTCACTCCGAAGAAATTATGTGAATTCTAAAAAGGGAGTGAATTCTAAAACAAGATTACGCAGCACGTTAGTCAAGCAATACTTGATGAAATAATGGAAGATGAGGGACAAAAGAATATAGAATGTCTTACACTCGCGCATGCGCATTTGTTAGTTCTTAGTAAAGGACGTATTTCATGTAATATTCAAATTTCTTCTCTATCGGTGATTGGCTGAAATTTGGACAATCGAAGGACTAGCGAATTAAAAAACTCAGTTTAAAAGATGAAAACATGTATGAACCAGTCAGAAATGAGAAATGAAATCGATGTAAATCAAAATTGGAAATGTGTAGTTCACTTTAACCCGGCTTGTGTTCTCAGCTTTAGCATGTTATGGAACTTTCAATTTAACTCCTTTTAAGTCCTGATTTGCGCACCCAATGAGATAGGTTGAAATCGAAATGAATGTATGAAAAATGTATAGGTATAGGAAATAAATATAAACTGAGGATATTACAGTATCTTTCGGAATTATCATTTATTGATTGATTATTCACCAACGAGAATATTATTACAGAACATTTGTGTATCGCTTAATTTTATCTTTGTTGAATTGTAACATGTGTGCAGTTACTTGAATAAATAGAATCTTATCCTATATGCCTAAGATATTATAAAACATTCATTATTTCCATCACTGATGCATTAAATGACCTAAAAAACCAGTACATAAGATTAATACCTGTTTATATTTGTATAAGAAGCTTAGTAAGTTTATGTGAATGCTTACTTAGAATTGATTTGATCGCCTGGAATGTAGAATGGATTACAAACTGCGTTGGAATATGCAGCATGTAACTTCTTAAAGGTCTGTTGATCAGTTTTTAAGAATTAAACTGATGTAAAAAATTATTAAAATTAATCTATACATATGAAATATGAAATATATTACCATCTTTACGTCATTTTCCCTTAATGATACATTGGATGATTGTAGTACTATGACAAATTTAATTTTCGTGTTAGTTGCATAACCATATCTGAAAACAAAATATTCCATATTTAAAGTAGAACTTAAATTTCTAGTATTATTAAAGATGTCATCATATTTCATTTATCTACATACATTTTGTATTCTTCTGTTGCGAACAATAAACCTAGATACAAGTCGCGTGTATCCACTGCTGTTTTATTTCCTACACTCAGCTTCTCTTCTATGATATCGATGGATGTGTGTACCTTGTAGTGAAATTGTAGTGCAGAAGCTTCATCCGCACATTTGATATATTTTGGAGAATTCTACAAAGCATACTAATCAGTTAATTGAGCAAGTAAATTTTCACGGTTGTGTATATTTAGAAATTTTTTGCGCAACAATAGTAACCTATAAATACTAAAATAATGTATACTTACATCCTTACCAATAACAGCTACGCAAGCGACCATGTTTTCAGATTCTAAGAAAACGCAGAGAAATGTCTCATTACAATATGATATGTATTTTTTTTAGATATAATTTTATCTTAGAAAATTGTCGTGATTACGAATTTTCTGCACGCAACAGTAACATGTAGGTTAGAATGACAGTATCGTGAATGACACGTGTGCAGTTGCTTGAATAAATAAAATGCTGTTTTGATATACGATTTTAATTGTAAATTTTACAAAACATAGATATTGAGATACATGTCAGAAATATATACATTACAAAAATAGCAATTTTAACTGATAAAACGTACTGTACACACTAAACAATATTCACAAAATTAAAACTCATAATATCGTCGGACATTTGTGCACGACGTAAACTTCTTGTCTGTTAATTGTCATAATATCTTTTCTTCAAAGTTCTGTACTTGCGCAACATATACAACGCTTCCAGTTCCTTTATCACGAAATTACCATGTCCTATCATCTTATCGATTTTCTCGGAATCGGTTTCTGCTTTGTTTTTGTCGAAGGCTCTCCTCAGCTTGGTCCTAAAATATTGATATCCCTTCGGATAGTCTCGACCCATGTATAATAGCTGAAAACATATTTTTCAAACATTTAACGAGGAAATGTTGGATACAATAAATTATGTAAGAAATAATACATATGAAAAAAAGAAGTTGCGTTTTTAAGTCTATTTACAATGCTGTATTACCGTCTTGTACAACTCGAGAACTTTAGTGCGCTGTGACATGTCACGTAATAAATCTGGACTCAGCTTGAATTAACTTGTAAACTGCATCTTGAAAGTTATTTGATAAGTTATCATTATTATCACTTTCGATAGTCTCCACCAAAGATGGGTAGATATGAAATCAGCAGTGTGAACCACGCTGCATAGAACTCGTGACGTCAGTTTTATAACGAACTGTTTTCACCCGATAAACACGATGTTTCTGTAGATAGCAATTACAACCAGTTGTGCTTGTGCTTTACTTGCATTCGTCGTTTGGCACTGTGCGAGTATTGTCGTGTCTCGAAAAGACTAGTTTTCTTTACTGCGACGCAATTACGGTAAAAATTTTATACAAAATAAATATTCGATTTTTGTTTTAATATTATAATAGCATTATTAAAGGGTAGCATTGTTAAAGGATAATCTCACCACATATACACACATATGTATACAACAATCAAAGAACTTAGTACATTTTGCTTTATATATATATTATTGTATTATTACATTGTGGACATGTAATTACCAAACATTTTTTTATTTTCTATTCAATCAAACAGAAATTAATTTGAATAAGTCTTATCTGTATTCAAATACGGTTTGGATAAAATATATATAACTTCATGAAAAGCAGACTTAAATTTCCATGAATCAATTTAGCTATCTTTGTTTAATCATGCTACTGCAATGTGATTTTGCATGAAAATAATCAAAATAATTACAACTATCAGTAGTATTTAACGAGGAAACAGAGCAATTATTGTGAATTATTTTTTTTTTATGACAATTGTATATATAATATTTTTATGAGATTTTAAAGTATTATTTCTAATTTTTCCTTTAAAGTACAATTTTTTATACATATATAGATGATAGCTTTTTAACCTTGTATTTAATAACTCATTCTGTATGATAATTTTAATCTTATCCCTGCTTCAGTCATAAACATTATTTGTTATCTTTTGATATACGCAATAATGATACATATATGATACATAGCTTTGTTATTCTTTCTATATAAGGAAGAATAACATTTATATTAATCCTATTGGTACATGTAATTGTTCATCAGTCGTTACAATCAAATCTACAGGCTTACTGGTGTTATCAGAATATTGATAAAAAAAATATACCAGTATATAAATTTCCACTCCTTATATATTTCAGAGATTCGGTGACAATGTTTATCTTAAGGAATATTTTACTTTTAATATTTTGTGGTGAGTTATTAAAATCATTATATAATACAGATGTGATATTAATATAATTTTCTATGTATTATACTTGTATTCTTACTTATTTAACACAATACTTTTTATATGTTTCTCAGGGGTATGTTATACATCATTGTTGCCCAAAAAGACTTTAAAGGGTCCAGCATTTAGCAAAACGTATACGGTGAAAGGAACTTTGTATATACCATATGCAGAAATTCGTGAACCTTTTTATGCATGGTATGATGGTGCCAGTGGATCAAGTCGGATTGATTATTATGGAGGTACAATTTTAATTTATCCTATGATGATCTATCTATTCTTAGGATTTAGCTATGCAAAGCAGTTAATATATCATATAAAGTATAAGCTATATATAATCCTATTTTTATCTAACAGGAATGGTTAAAACCTATCAACTGTCTCACAAAGGACAATATGGAGCCAGCATAAAAATAGCACCTGTTACTACAGAGACTGCTAGTAATAAAGATACATGTCTTCAAGTAAATGGTACTAGTGATTTGAAGATACAGCCTCAAACTATCCTCCCAGATACATCTGAAATGGAGGTAATAAAGAAATATTTATAACGACGTTTTCATAAATCACAAAAAATATATTTAGATGTTTAATATGATAATCTTTAATATGATAATAAATTATATGTTTTATTTACTTAATATGTATTGTATACAGTAGATAATGATAATTTTACAATAATACAGATTAATAGATTAAAATTTGTATATAGTGCATTGGTGAAGAGATGATAAATGGGCTAATGTGTGAAAAATGGCGACTTGTACAAGAGATTGAGGAGAAAACAAATAAATATACACTGTGGATACGTTATAAAGTAAGAATGAAATTATTTGTACATAGAATAGAGTGGCATTTGTAGTATTTAAAACAAACATTTTTTTAAAGAAATCACCCTATGTACCGCAACTGAAAGAAGCTATTCCTGTGAGATATGAAATGCGAGGATTTAATAGTCTTTTAGGTTCACATTACGATCATTATTATCTGGAATATGATTGGTATTCCTCCGAAACACCCAGTTCTGATATCTTTAAAATTACGGAAAGTATGTATAATAAAATATATAAAATATCTAGTTTTCATAATAGTCGATTTACTACCATGTATATATTTTATATTATAATCGACTTGATTTTTTTATATCACAAGACTAGTTACATGAGATTAATTATTCTTACAGATGCTACATGTGTCAGCTTCCCAGGCCCAGGAGAAAATCACATATACACCTTTAATCCAATGCGCGAATTCATTCACAATTATGAAGATCATTTGGATGAAGCCTTCCACAACTTCAAAAAGACCCACAAGAAATATTACAACAGCGACTTGGATCACAAGTATCGCAAAGAAGTATTCAGACAGAACATAAGGTAGGCTCATGCCACAATTGTATGTATATGTAGTTATATACATATCTAAAGTAAATTATATATTTTCAGATTTATCCATTCTTTGAATCGTGCCAATTTGGGCTACCAGTTAAATGTGAATCATTTAGCAGACCGCACCGATCTAGAATTGAGGGCTTTACGTGGCAATAGACATACTAAAGGTTACAATGGTGGAGCGCCATTCCAGCATGATATCGAAAATGAGATCAGCGATGTTCCTGACAGTATAGATTGGAGATTATACGGTGCTGTGACACCAGTCAAAGGTTCGCAATTTCAATACATCTTAATATTATATGGAAATTATATACATATTAATACACATTACTTAAACAGATCAATCCGTTTGCGGCTCTTGCTGGAGTTTTGGTACCACAGGAACAATAGAAGGTGCATATTATATGAAGTACAATAAGTTAGTGCGTTTATCTCAACAGGTAAGAGATTTGTAAAAATATAAGAATCGCATGTTATTATTGTTATCCTGTTAATTACAATCTTCGGTTTGGTTTGGTGTAATGTATGTAACATTACAAATAATATTAAAATATTAATAAAATTCAGGCTCTTATCGATTGTTCATGGGGTTATGGAAATAATGGTTGCGACGGTGGAGAGGATTTCCGTGCGTATCAGTGGATTATGAAGCATGATGGTTTACCTACTGAGGAGGATTACGGTGGTTACTTGGGACAGGTAAATCGTTTAGACGATATCAAATGATTATTTGAGAATATTGTCTAATCGTGCTGATATAATGTGTTGAAACATATAAACGAGAAATCTAAAAAAATATTTCTCTTTTCAGGATGGATATTGTCATATAAATAACGTAACGAAGACAGCTAAGATCACTGGTTATGTTAATGTTACTCCACTCAGTGTAGCAGCTTTGAAAATCGCCATCGCCAAACATGGCCCCATCTCTGTTGCTATCGATGCTTCCCACAAAACATTCTCCTTCTACTCTCACGGAGTGTACTACGATCCAGCTTGCGGTAAGTTTGCATATTTATTCACTTCTGTCATTGTATGTAAGATTCCCAATCAACATACAATTATGCTTTTGGTGATACAGGCAATACTGAGGATAAATTGGATCACGCCGTTTTGGCCGTTGGCTACGGTAATATGAATGGAAAAGACTATTGGTTGGTGAAGAATTCCTGGTCAAATTACTGGGGCAATGATGGCTATATTCTCATGGCGCAGAAGGATGACAATTGCGGTGTTCTTCTAGCTCCCACATACGTTACTATGTAAGAATATTTCTATTTCTAAGAGTTATTCATTAGTTGTTCGTTTGAAGCTCTCTAGCATTCATCTAATGAGGAAGTGCCCAAATATAGATAAAATATCGAGCATATTTTAGATTTTTAACTGTATTGTACGATGAACGACATGAGTTTTATAAGTTAAATTGTTGAAAATTATACTTACTATGTGTTACAAAGGAAAATAAAGTGTTTCATAATTAAAAAAGGCATCTGTTAAACACGCTTCTTTTATTAGTATCAAAAGGTGATTATTTAAGAAGATAAAAATAACAATTTTCTATACGAGAAAGGCATGAAAGAAATTGTGTTATTAAAGTTTGAAGTATGATAGAAAGCAGTAGGCAAGTGAGGCAAGCTTAATTATATTTATGAAATTGAAATAGCCGTGTATATATATATATATATATATATATATATATATATATTTCAAGTAAAAACGAGAATCTTAGAATATTAATTTATCTTGAGAACAGCAGATATTAAATTATATAATTATATAATTATATAATGTTAAATTATATAATGTTATATAATTTACTCTGTGGATTTGATACAGATATCAGTTTCTTACTAAAGTAAAGGACAATATTAAGTTACTTTCATCTTTGCACGATACCAGTCTTTCGAGACATAAACGGTATTTTACATATTTTCAATTACATTTTTTATTAATATCTTTGCTTTAACGAATAATACGATATATTCAGAAAATTTTTATAAACTGTTTTTACACATAACGATGTCAACTGCAATCTCTCACCAATTATATTCTAATTCGTTTTCTTTATTATATTAATTAGTGCATTCCTCGAGGGTTTGTCAAATGTCCTTGTACAATTCCAAAATACGGTCGTGTGTGTATATATATATATATATGTATGTATATATATATGTATATAACTATAGTATCTTTACAAATATATAAATACTTCTCCTAATACACACACATTTGTGTCCGGTAAGTGTGTCCATGGTAATGTGTGTTTGATATGATGGATACTTTCAAAATATACATAATACTGCTTATAATTATAATTATGACATAGGAGCTAAAGGAATGTGAAGATACATGTAGCATGACAAACAAAGATATTAAGGCGATCTATGAAACATCAACTAACTGTTTAATTAAATTCTCGTGATAAATTTGCACGTGAAAGTAATGTAAAAAGCGCACGGTAGCTGTAATACTATGTTGTGAAAAATAAATATGAATCCCATCACGAATGAAAAACATCACGAACAAGCTGCACGATATGTAGCAACGAAAAATCATAATCGCCGTATTAGTAAACCCGTCCGATCGTATGTAGTTCGTAGAAATTATTCGATTTCATCGTCGTCAAAAATAAAAGTATGCAAATGTAATGCATTTAAGTACACGAAAGATGTATGTGCATACAGAGTGAGTCTTCGAATCCAGAACAATTATTCAATTAAGCTCTGTTTTCGGCGACTCACCCGGTATATCTTTTTCACAGATTCCGTCTCAGTTTAGTATAGTACACGTGACTAAGATCGGCTAGAGAGCCATCCGAAAAATCTTATTATACATAACTTTTAGTTCTTCCCGATTTTCTCTTTGTGTTTATTATCACTTAAGTCTTACTTTCATTCTATATCACTTACGGACAGAGTCCGACCGAGCTCATAAAATATCTGATCATCGGCGAATATAGCCAATATACGTGACAGTTACGGAAAGTCTCGACCATCCGTTTTTTTTTTTACGTATATTACACACGATAAGCTGTAGGAATGATAAGAGCTTCCCCGGAGAATTAAGCATGCTTCCGTCACTGGTTTTTCCTCGCTTGCACGATTGTGCGGAAACGCGCGAGTGCGTGCCGTGTAATTATTCGCGCGCTAACCGTAATATTTTTTCAGCGCCACGAATCAACCGTATTTTGATTAAAGAAATCCCATCTCTAAGGCATTGTACAGGGCTTGCGTGTCCGAAAGGCTGTTTATCCTCCAGAAGGGAAAGTTGTGCGCCCGCGCCGCATTCTCCTCGTCCGAGTCATCGCCTATTACTACGTACGTACACCTGCGGCCGAATCGCGCCACCACTCTTCCGAAACAATTTTCCTTTCCTGAAACAATGGTATTACTTTCGCAACAGCTCTGTATTTTTTCCTACAACGATGGAAGATGATTGAATTTTTATTTTGACTTATATATCTACGCCATTATGTTCTCTACGTTAGACCATGGATTTATGTCTATTGTATAAAGCATAAGCGCAAGTTTTTTCTGATAATTCTTTTCGTATCACAAACATTTTCCATTGTTATATATATATATATGTATGTGCAGTGTCGCATAATTCACGCTTCCTGACGCGATCAATTAACGTAGTTATCTGCATGTCTCGCCGTGTAATTACCGATTTTGGTGGCGGAATATATATTCTCTATAGGGAATATCCCGCCGATGCCGAAGAGCAAAACCTTGGAGAGCGTGGGTACCAGCTGCGAGGTCGTCACCAGGATATTAATGCAATGACTCCTCTTGTTGATGAGACTCAAACACTTGACCGCTGACGTTAACCAGTTATCGGTCAACGCTTCGATTTCCGAGCGCAGTTGAAGCCATTGTTCTCGCTTCGCCGTGCCCAGAAGACCACCCACGTTGTTGCGATAGTTACAATAGATCTCCTTAATCTTGCGATAGCGAAATGCCAACTTCCTCATCCAATCGACGCCACCTCGTACGCCGGAAGTCAGGCATATTCCGTTGTTCGCAGACGCGCACTGGAAGCCGTCGGTCGCAAAGTTATAGGACGATAAGTCCTGCCCATTATCGTCCGACGCAACATCGTCTATATGCACTTGATCACAATCCTATGAGAGAGAAGATATCAAACTACAGTAAAACCTTGCTGGAAGGACATCGCAAGATACCTGACCAAAACGCAACCCGCTTGAACTTTGGAGATTTTCATTGAAGATAGTCACGCATTCGTGTATCAGATATTCGGCTACATGAAAAATACGACCGTACAACGACAGTTATGCAACAAAGTTAGGAATTAGCAATATGCGTCGAAGGAAATCCCCATCACCTCGATGTCGCTGAAGAAGAAGTGCGTGTCCGCCAAGTTGAATATCATCTCCTCCATTCTGTACGCCACTTGAGCCAAAGGGGTGGGATCTTTGCGGTGCTTCGAGGCGAATTGCCCGGTTAGCAAGGAGTGGAATATAACAATAGTCTCGTCAAGGTCCCAGATGAATATACGATCAGGCCCGGCCTCCGTCGTGTCCGCAGAACCGATACTGTTTCCGCTTCCGCTTTGCCTCCTGCCGCGCCTGCATGGCTTCGTCGCCGCCACTGTAACAGTTTCGTGACGGCTTATCGTTTCGTCAATTTCCAAGAATCTATTCGGACGCGATCGCACGAAGGGACAACGATTGATTGAGACGACCTTGTCGCTGGAATTTATCTGAAGAATCAAATTCGGTTCTAAAAGCCAGAGATCCCGTCTCCTTCGACGCAAAACGCGTTTGCTTCGTTCGAAGTCGCGTTTATCCAATCAATTCTTTTCTTCCGTGTGCTTATCGAAAACACATAGAACATGAGTGGTTTGCTATTTTTATTTCTCGATTTAAAGCTAGCTCTGATGGTTGGATTCGTTCGAGTTTCCGAAACCGCGGTAACACCGCTCGATCGATTCTCGCAAAACGCAACGGTTACGGCAAGGTAAGAGATACGTATCGGGTGTTGTACCTTCTCGATGCTTGCGGTTTTCTTCGCACAAAACGCGTTTGGTTCGCTCGTCGTCGTCGCGTTAATCCAATCCATCTTTTTTCGCCGTGCCTTTTCCGGAAATACGTAGGACGTAGATATCACCGCGATAGAGGCAAGTAGGTTTGCCATTTTTCGTTCTCGATCTAAAACCAGCTCTAATGGCTAGATTCGCCCGTGTTTCCGAAACTGCGGTAACGCCGCTCGATCGATTCCCGCAAAACGCACGGTTACGGCAAAGTAAGAGATACGTATCGGGTGTTATACCTTCGATGTTTGCGGTTTCCCGTGCGGTCAGCTCGCTCGCATCGTGCGTGGTCGGGTCCAACGTGAGTGCGGACTTGGTCGAGTCTTCTTGTACACACGAAACACGACGTAGTTAGTTAACCGCACTGATCTCGAGGAAGCGTAAGCTACTAAAGCGTGCAAGAAACTCGCGAGACGTCTGTCTCGGCTCGTCTTGCACGATCTATAAAGACGGACGATTACCAGCGAAGTTGATGTTGCCGATGTTGAAGGAGGCGGGCGGTGCATGGTAACCGGGCATGGGGTAGTATCCGGAATACTGAAGCGGTACCCTGTCGTTCCCATACAGACTACTGCTGTAGGCGCTGTAGTCTAATTTCTGCAAAAAAAATCAGAGAAAATAGGCTCGTCTTCAGACGCGCGGGGATTCAAGCTAAAGCTTCAACAGAAAGAAGGTAACATAATCGAGCACGCCGCGGTGGTCACCTGAGAGGCTGGCGATATATTCTGCGCCACGTTCGGGAAAGTCGTCGCTCCGCTGTTGTAGCCGGCGTAGGACGGGTACTGCGTCATCGAACTCGACGACGTGTAGGAGCTTAGGTATGAGCTTTGCAGGCTCGACGCAGATTTCGAGACCGTCGTGGATCCATAAGGCGGCGAGTTGTAGAGACTGCGAGAAAGAAAAGGTAGAGAGGAGCGAGAAGAAGCGTGTCGAGACGAGAGAGAGAGAGAGACAATATGAGGAGGAGCGATATGAATTTTTGGGTCGTGCGTGTGTACGTACGACGACTACTAGGACGAAGACCAGTTGGTGCCCGGTTGTGTTAATACTCGTCTTACCTGTTATAATATTGATTGGCACCGTACAGGGATCCGTAATCCGTCTTCTCCATCGAATCCGGATACTCCTGTTCCTTCTCCTCGGCATTCTCGTCGATGTACAACTCCCCGCCGGGTACGCTGTCGGTCTCGGGACAATCCTGGACCTCGTTCTTAACTTCGGTTTCTGACAATCATGCAGACCAGCGGATGAGTGGCTTGCTTGTAAGAGCGAAACGTTCTTGCGTTCTTCGCGGGGAAAAGAACAATCTGTCGGCGGTAGACGAGAGATCGAGGATCCTCGCGGTACGTCCGTAACACAAAATGTACGATTGTAATACAACGGAGAAAAAAAGAAAGAGCATGCAAATGGAGAGATAAGATTTTTCTTAATTATAACGAAACGCAAGACGTTGTTGAACTTGTTATCGCGAGGGTAGATGCGCCGGGGCGAACGACCGTTCGGCCGATGAGAACGCGCGAGTTCCCCTCGTCGATTTCATCTCCGTCCTTTTTTCTTCCTTACGTATCGTCGTTAATAATGTATCCTTTACGTAGTTTCAACGGCACTCGTTAATCCAAGCCTTATCGGCACACCGACGGCCGTGTAACAATATCTGGGTAAATACATCCGATCATCGAACGGCGCATCTACCTCTCTCTCTACGCCAATGCCAGTTAGATCCTCTATCTACCATTGTTTGCGGCGCGAGGATGCTGTACCGAGGCTTCTGTCGAGGAAGACACGTTGCCAGCATTGTCTAAAACCCCTGCTGGTTTCGTCGGATCATTGTCTTCGGTTAACATATCACTCTATCTGCAACGACATAAATCACCGGTTCACCTGCACGTCGCTGCTGTTTATAGAATCGCCGTAGAATAGAACGACGTAAAGCGGGAGTCGCGCCGCGATCGGGGAAAACACCGGGAAAGCTTAGGCTCGACTATGTTCGACGCGGCCGGAGAAGATGCATGCGAGGGAAAACGCACGGCGACGTCTGCGAGGTGATTGTTAATTAATATCAATGGCGATTCTTCATCATTGCAACGATTGCTCGGCGTAATGACGAGGCGCGGCCGTCGAGCGGTCGCAGTTTTAGCCGAACGGCGACTCCGCGGGCGGAAGAAGGCTGCACCTGCGAGGCGAGGGTCGCTCGCGTGTGAACTTCATTATTGTCTGCCAATTGCGTGTCGAAGAGGTGGAGTGACTGGCCGGGTAGGCGTACACCGCGAAGAACCGAAAGCAGCCAATGGAGCCTCCTTTCACTACGCGCTTTACATTATTGCAAGAGAGACCTCGCGAGAACTGTAAAGGCGTCTCGCTAGTCAGGATTAAAAGTGTCTCGGGACGGCCGTGAGATGTTTGCGAATTAGTTAGGTACAGGTACAGGTAGACGAATGAAGAGAAAGAAAAAGTCGAGAGCAGAGCTGCGACACTCCTTCACGCGTACGTCATTATTGTTTCTCACAAGTGTCGTCAACTGGCTTGCGCTACCTCGAACGCTCGATCAACAATCGACTGCTGAGAGAGTCAATAGAGCTTTCATGTCTACGATTTCTCACTCCAGATAACTTTACAGAGGCGATATACTTCATAGAAGCTGTCGATTCACGCTTTCTTCCAGCGACACAAGATCCAACACGTTCGCTTGCTTGGCTACCACACAGTTTTCAGTTTAACGAACAATTCAAAATGTCCCGATGCAAATGACGCGCGAGCAATCAGCAGGGTCGCTCGAGAGAGAGAGAGAGAGAGAGAGAGAGAGAGAGAGAGAGAGAGCTTGTCACTACTTGAGTTTCGCAGTATTTACCGCTTGACCTTGCGAATGATTGTCTAATAAACAAACGAGACTCGCGACGTTTCCATATCGAATATCCGGACAGCTAGATCTATTTTCCTAAAGCCATTACCATCGCATCATTACTGCGCCTTGCACGAAGTGATCTTCACATTGCTAAATTGCTATTTACTCGCCTTACACGCGTGTGCCTCAATGGACGAAATGGTTGCCTTTTACCTCGAGGGCTTCTTCGCACTCGAGATAATGTAATCATCGTCGACGTCGCTCGGCTGATTTAATGGCAACTTCCCCCCGCGCTTGGCGCGACCTCTCGTTCCGCGTCCGCGATTCTTCGATATTCGACGTGGCTCTCTCTATGAGTTATTTCTCTTTCTCTGTCGCTCGGCAACTCCGAGCAACTCGGAATCGCTTTCCTTTCCGAGCGACGTTCAACGTTAATTAACGCTTCGAGCGCACGCGCGGATTAACTCGCGCTCCGCGCTCGTTTCGACCGTCGAGACGCTCGGCGTTCTACTCGCTTTGTAACCCTTCATTACGATCTCGCTCCTTAAAGACTCTCGCTCCGACCGAGGAATTTCAATTTCGTCGTCGACGGACGATCGTTCGAGTGGATTTCCTGCCGCGCGATCCCGTCGGAATTGTAATTTTCGCCAAGAGCGCGCCGGCACGTCGCTCGTGCAAATTATTCCCGCGCGTTCTCGAACGCGTGTCTCGTTGGCAACTTCAAGCCTTCATTGCGAATCGAGATTAACAGGTACAGTGGCAGGAAGCTTGCAACGCTTCTTCCGATGGATGGGTCTCGCGATGCACTTGTATCCGACAGAAGAACTTGCGTCTCTTTTGCTAATTCCCGAAAGATAAGTTTTCCTATCGGATACCGGATGCGTTCTCAGGCTGATCCAGGTGAAAGCGTTGCAATGGCTACATTCAGTAGAAAAAGCTGCTTTTTAACTGTCGTGAAATTCGTGAGTCTGATTGGTGTATGCTTCTGGATTCGGCCAAATTTAATAGCACACACCAATTAGACTCACGAATTTTACAACAATTGTAAAACTGCTTTTTCTGCTGAACGTAAGTAATGGCTACGTTCAGCAGAGAAAGCTGCTTTTTAACTGTTGTAAAATTCGTGAATCTGATGATCTGAGGTGTATGCTTCTGGAATCGGCCAAATTTAGGAACACGCGTCAATTAGATTTACGAATTTTATGAAAGTTGCAAAGCAGCTTTTTCTGCTGAACGCAACCGGCGTGTCTCTTCCACTGATTGCGCTCCGACATTTCGTAGCCCGACAGCTTCAGATCGGACGGAGAAGAGTGTCACTGTATGCATACCGCGGACACACCGCGGTATGCATACAGGAACGCGAACTCGCCACCCTGTATATGTGCGGCCACGGCTCATCTCCGCCGGTCCTCTCGCGTAATGCACGGTGATGCGAGATGAAAGGCACTCTGCTTATCTAAACAAAAGCGCGCGTCGAAGTGTTTATCGCGGGCGAGTTGCTTAGCTTGCTGTCTGGCTAAACTGTCCGTCAGCCGTCACAGGAAAGCGAAATGCAGCGAAACAGCGAAGAAAGAGAGGGAATGAGGAGAAGAAGACGAAGAAGAAAAAAAAAACGTGTCGCCAAGCTGCCGCGATTGCCGCTCGTAGAACTCTCTCTCTCTCTCTCTCTCTCTCTCTCTCTCTCTCTCTCTCTCTCTCTCTCTCGTTCGGTTCGCTTAATTGGCCGGTTTACGTCTCAGGCTAAAAGAACGAGAGAAGTTAGCACGGATGGCTACAGTTCGCCAAGACAAAAGCTTTTTGTCCGAACCCATCTAGCCGAGTAGTGCCGGCGCGCTGTTACAGAAGGAGAGCGAAAGAGAGAGGTAGCGACAGCGTTCCCAGCGTCATTCGGAAAGATTGTTTTTCCAGTCGAGCCGACCCTCGGGGATGCTTGATGTGTGCCGTTGCTCTTGCGGCCAAATGCTGTCGGAATCTCGCCTATATTTCGTGCACGTGTTGCACAGGTTTTTTCTTTTTCTAACTAGGTAAAACTTGCCAAAATGAAGCAGATATCTACCCCGAGTGTCGAAGGAAAGAAGAACGAAGCTCCATCGCGGCTGAGACGAACAGACCCGTTGAGTGTTTCGCCATCACGAATCGCGATATCGAATACGAATCGATACACGGCCTGTGTCTTATCGAAGAAGGAGCACTTGCGGATATCTCGCGATATTTTTAGGGCCGTGGCAGAAAAACGCAAGCAGAGGCTCGAGGCAGAGGCGCGAACGAATCGACCAGTCGCAGCCGACGATTTCAAAATGATCATACTCGATAATGGTCGCGATTTGGCTAATTCGCTTACCGCCTAAGTTTCACCATTTACGCTTCTTCTATCCGCGCACGTCCGCTGTACTCTCTAGGTGTTTCCGCAAGCCAAAGCTTCAACTTCGGTCGGTTTGAAGGCTGCGAAACGAGACTTTATGCACTTTGGCTGATATAATCGTCACGAGAAACGGAGGAACGCGTCGCCTGCATCTTTCCCGGTATGTTTTGCTACAGAACGCCTTCGCGTCTTCGATTCGATAAATAATTCTACGGTAACCTTAAAAATCGCCACACGCGCGGCGTGTGAAGCGCGAAGACGCGCAGTCGTTGAAGTTACCGATAAGTCACAATACAAGTTAAGGCGATGCGAGCGTCCGATGAATGATCATTCGAGGTGTGTTAACGTAGCGAGCTTTTACTTTGATGCTGCGAGAAAATAAACTCGTGAGCGTGTCGTATCGTGAGAATCGAAAAGACGATGGACTTGGACGCCCGTTTGCACGGCATCGCGTCACCATCTTTGCCCAGCAAACGCGAGGTAACCGATGTAAAATACCTGTTAGTTATCACTCCCTGCTCAACAATGTAACTGTTACATAACGTAGGCGTTATATAACAGTCGTTGAGTAGGAGATTACAACTAACAGGAATGTTACATTATGTTTGCTGGGTTTGCTAATCTATCTGGAATTTTGTCAAGTTGTGTGAAATTACGGGACATCGGATACCCTTAGAAGCGTTACCGCGAATACGTGCTTTCGTTGTGTCTCAAGAACGCGGCTGTTTCGAGAATCGTTGCGATATTTCCAAGATATCCGTCGCGTGTTGCGAACAGCGCGTCGGCGACGCTTTTTGGGACGGAATGTATTGTCTGATACTACTACGCAACGGTCGGCCAATTAAAATACATTACTGGTAACGAGCCGAATGAGATGCATAAGTTACGCATGCTCAATTGATAATGACGTTTACGCGCGTATATATGTGTGCGCGTATGCGCGCGCGCGCGTGTGTGCAACATCCGCGTAACTAACTGCCGCGTCCGCGGCTCTCTCTCTCTCTCTCTCTCTCTCTTTCTCGTCTATTTAGCAGTTTCGAGAAAAACGTGCACACGCGAAACACGCCGACGTCCACGTGCTAGCTGGGATGATGAATCTTCCTAATTTTACCGCCAATTCGCGCATTCTCCTGTTTGCCGTTTGCTCCATTAGCGCGCAAGACAATTGTACTGTAGAAAAATATATATAATTCCAGGGATATAATCCTTCTAAGCGGAAGTCGGAGAAACGGATGGTTGAAACGGATAACGAAGCACCGGCGGGAAAATTATTACAAAAATAGGTCGCAGTCGAGCTGCAGCGTGCGTAAAGAGAAAGAGAGATTTACAGATGGTGTTTATTAAGCTAAGTAAAAATTCCTCTAAAACACCACCGATTGAAAAATTAACTTGATGGAAAGCGAGCAAACGTTAGCTTCTTTTTCAGAAACTGTCTACATACGATCAACCTATGTTACGATACGATAACCTACATACGTTATACCCGACTAATCTCTCCTCCCTCTCTCTTTCTCTCTCTCTCTCTCTGTCCACTTCGTATTCATATTTTTATATAGAATCTGAATTTTTGTCAACTTCCGCAGAGACCCGCCCCCGCGATGTTTCGAGCAGTTGCAATTCACCAGTCTCGTGTCGCGATACACGCGACACGATATCGGGCGGTACAACAATAAATCCCGGCCCGCCACGCGTCATCAATCCCCCGCGAAACCCTCCGGTGCTCGAGGAGAGCTCGGGGAAAAACCTCAAGGAAACCCTCCGCGCAAATCTAATCAAACAACGCCGGTCAAACCTTGCGTCCCGTCGCTGGCCTCTCAGACTCTCGAGACAGGTTGCTTCGACGTGGTAACGTTCAAGGGAGCCGTGGGTGATTCCCTCCTGACAACAGCATCGTTATCCCGGAGCGCGTAACACGAACGAACGAACGAACGAGCGTACGTGCGTGCGTGCGTGCGTGCGTGCGTGCGTGCGTACGCGCAATCGTGTGCGTGTATGCGTGCGTGCGCGAATTACGCGCCACGTAAAGTGCGCCGAGATCCACGCCTCTTCGGCAGCGTAGCGCAATAACGTTCTCGACGACGTCTCCCGGCGCTCTCCTCTCTCGGTCCGTCACTTTTCTCGTACTTTCCACGACCACGGGAACATCGTCGCAGTTACCTACCTAGCCACCGATCGTCACTTTTGTCCCGCGATACGCTCACGTTACGACGTTTAGCGCACCGCCCGGCGTACACAGCCGCACGTACACGCACATACACACATACACACGTATACGCGGACACATACACACACACGCACAAAGAGGGAGAGCAAAAGAGAGAGAGAGAGAGAGAGAGAGAGAGAGGCAGAGAGAGAAACGAAACACTCCGTCGCCGATGATGATGTCGCGGTGACGCGAAAAGTCCTTATGATATCTCGTCGATCGACCGTCGGGACTTTTGGAGAGCTTTGGGAGACGAGGACGACGACGACGAATCAACAACTCCGAGATATCCTGGAGATATCAAATCTCTCTCCCGCAGGACACCGTCCCGCCCGAGATGGTCCGCGCGTACGGGACGCACCGCTCGCCGAGTCCTCGAGCGTACCGGACAGACGCGAGTGTGCTCTGCGAATCCACCCCTTGCGCGATCGCGCGCCACCGACTCGCGTTCGGAACGGAGCTCTTGCGCCGACTTGGCCAGATCTCGCGCCGCCTCCTCTCTCGTCTCGTCGGATCTCTCTCGCTTTGCGCGCTCTACCTTCACGAACGACTCGCTACCATCGTTTCTCGCCGGTCTGTGTTGTGTCGCGGAGGTGTATCGTGGGGCCCCGCCGTGTGCGATACGCCGCGGCCAGTGGAGTTCTGAGCATGCGAAATGTCGCCTGCCACCCCCGCCCGGTGGTCACGTGGTCGCGTTCGTTCGGCTCCTCTCCGTCCTGTCTCCTTTCCCACTTCAGCGCTCGTTCTCTCTCACTCTCTCTCTCTCTCTCTCTCTCTCTCTCTCTCTCTCTCTCTCTCTCTCTCTCTCTCTCTCTCTCTCTCTCTCTCTCTTCTCCCCCTCTCTCTCTCTCTCTCTCTCTCTTTCTCTTTCTCTCGCCTCGTCTCATCTCATCTCGCCTCTTTGTTCCGCGTTCTCGCGCTGTCCTTGTCGTCCTAAAACCGCTGTTTTCCCGTTTCTCTTTTTCTCTGTTGCTCTCTCTCTGTCTCTCTCTCTCTCTCTCTTCCCCTCCTCCCGTTTCGATTTTCCTAAAATTTGTCACACGTTTGCAATATGTTAACATCGTCTGTAATTTGCCTTCGACGAAGCTTGCTCCGGAACGAAGGATTGTTTCTCTCTTTCTTTGTCTCTCTTCTTTTCTTGATGTGTCTCATGGCATGTTAATTATATTATTATCATAACGGAATTATGATAATAATATGTCTTGTATGTAATATAATATCACATTTTAGTTGTATAATTTTTTACCTTTCGCAATATTGCGCGCGCTCTCTCTCTCACCCGCTTCTTATTTCTATCCTGCTTAAACTTCGTTCTTCGCCTCTCTCTCTCTCTCTCTCTCTCTCTCTCTCTCTCTCTCTCTCCCTCTCTCTCGCTCTCTCTCGCTCTCTCTCGCTCTCCGACGAGCGCACACAGGTCGCTCGTTAATTAAAGTGAGAGGAGCTAACGAGCCATAGTGTATGGCTAGGCGATGGCGCGAGAGATAAGAAAGGAACGAAAGAGAAAGAGATAGACGACGAAGACGAGAGAGGGAAAGAAAGGGAGAGCGAGAGGGAGATGAGTGGCTGCCGAACCGCTCGTGCGGGGGAGGAGTTTTTTCGAACTTCAACCTCAACTCCCGTCCTCCGACCCCGACATCGAATAATTGTCACCTCTTGTCACCGTTCATTTGTACGAATCGCTCGGCAATGATGTTTCTCTCTCTCCCCCTCCCTTTCTCTCTCTCTCTCTCTCTCTCTCTCTGTCTCTCTCCCTTCCCTATCCCCGCTCTCTATCTCCGCGACGGGACAGGTTTTTCAGAATCACCAGGAGAAACGTGGGACAACGATTAAAGGGATCTATATGGGTGATCTTGATAAGACTCGTAGAATACGTGTTTTAGGATCCGACGAATCGGCTGGCCGAAAGCAGGAATAAAAAGGTGACGCGCATTTTCACACATCCGTGTTTCACCGTCGGCCCACACGGACACACACACACTCGCCATGTGTGCGCGCCGCATTTTTGGATGTGTGACGTATGTCGTCTTGTACTTTCAGTTTAACATTCGCGCATTGAACATCGACGAGTCGTCGATGCGGACTCAATTCTGTTGCGGTGAGTGGCTCGCTCGCGTGCGAGTCGCGAGAAATTAACGTCGTGGAATCGAGACGAAAGGAACGACGTTCGAACGGGTTTCCGAATTCGCCCGGGCGTCCGGTCTCCTCGTTTATTTCGCGTTTGTGTGTGAGCCTAACCTAGGTTTTTCCACCCTTTTTATTATAGAGGAATTCTTGACGGGAGGTCCACACCGGCACTACGTCATACTCGGTGGGTTCCTGGAAGGCGAGAATGTTCCCGCGTCCTTTTTTCTCACTTTATCGATTACGGCGCGATAAAAGCGCCGCGAGATGTTCGCTTCCTCTGTCACCGCGTGACAAAATAAATTAGAGTCTACGTCGCGAGTGAAATAATGGAGGGCGAAGGGCGGCCGCTCACGGGGGAAATTAGCGTGTGCAGCTTCTCCTTTGGATCCTTAAAATTAAAGGAAACCCAGCGCAAGGTGAATCGCGCGAAAAGAGAGGTCAGTCGGAGCACGTGTGGCGGAAATTTGTTAAATCGAGTTCAATCGAGTGAAATTCACCGCGTTGAGATCGAATGCCGAGCTTGTTCGCAACTGCGAACAAGCTCGCGGTTATTTACACGCGCGTTTTGCCGCAGGATGCGGTATCCCTTTTTCTGCGATAAATTGCATTTGGCCAACGCGCGTGTTTTCGACTCGACCTCTTTGCGGCTAATGCAACTACAACGGCGAAGGGCGAGTCTGCATTTTTCAAGAACGAGATGACGAGAATGAGCAACAACGCGAGCGGCAATGTAATTTTCTACATCTTGTACCAACATCCATTGTACGTTTTCTACCCGGCCTGATGGACTCTCAAATTTCGTTAAAAGTCTCGCTAACGTTACCATAAAAGCATCTCGAGAAACTCTCGCGTTCTAAGAGCGCTTCGCGTTCCGACCGCTTTTTTGCTCCCGTTTCACGATTATTTCGGAACGCTTTTATTATATATATTTCGCATCGTTACATTTTACAATCGACACACTCGATTGCTTCTCGCATTTACAGTTGCTTGTAAAACGGTCAACCTTATTTGTGTATTACGTAAAGTTGGAAATCGTAGAAAATTCTCAATGAATTGTCCTCATTCTGATTTACGCTTGAGATCTGTGTGTGTGTGTGTGTGTGAGAGAGAGAGAGAGAGAGAGAGAGAGAGAGAGAAGCGCTGAATAATTTAATAATAGTATTTTATAGTAATAACGAAAGAATGTCGAGACATTCATAATGGTGCAACGTCCCGTGGCCCCACATTTCGCGAGCATTTTCCATTCTTCGTCTCTCCAACAGCGCACAATTTTCCGGAGAATCGTTCCCATCGAGGAGTGAATCCTCGTCCGCGCCGTTACGACGAAAATCGCGGGATGCTCGATCATCTTGATCGAGGCTTTGTGACGAATGACAAAGAGGAATAATGCTTTTACATAATAGGTCAGTAAACGCGAGGGTTCGGATAATCCAGTTTTTGTGTTTTCACGGTACGTCGGACAACGGGGGCCTCTTCGGGTTTACAGACCGGCGATCTCCATTTATCTCTTTGACAGCTGCGTTCGGCTGGTCTCATTGCGACCACGCTCTATCCGTTTGTTTCACCCGCACATATCCTGTATTCCGAAGCGACATCGCCTTTCGCGGAGACAGCGGATCCCGTTCTGTCGAGTCTTCTGTCGACAGGTTGTACCCTTGAAAATCCTCGCGCGAAAGTCCGCGTATTTAAAGAGACACAAACGTTCACCTCCTCCGACGTGAAGTACCTTGCGTATCTAATACCCATTTCTAGCAACGTCGATGAAACTTCAACGCGGATTTAAACTCAAAAACTTAAATTCAGATTAACAGTTTCGTCGATATTGCGATAGAAGCCGCGTATTTTTCCAAATTTCAACAACGACGGCTCGACAAAAATACGGGATCCTCGCGAATGGCCGTTCTATTGTTCGCCGTTGGCCGGCCAATGAAATTCACCACGCTTCTTCCCGCAGGAGCTTGCGACTCGCGACAGCCCGGGGAGACAGACGCGATACATCGTGCTCGCGCGAGAGAAATATCGGAAATATCGTTACGTGGCGCGGATGTCATTGCGTCTCCCGGGGGAGTCGCGCAAGACGTAAGACGACCGTAAGGCGGGTGATAAGGAGAGGCGCGCTGTCTGGAGGCAGACATGGCGTCGACATCCTGTAGGTCGGCCGACCCACCGCCGCCGAGCGGAGGAGGAGAGATGGCGGAATGGTGGTTGGTACCTTTATGATATAATGGCATGGGAGCTCGCGCCGCGAGAAGCGGCGTATATACTTGCTCTCTCGTGCGCGCAGACAAATCCGACACCGGCGGAGAGACCGCGAGAGAGAAGAAAGACAGACGGAGAAAGGGCGAGGGGCAGAGAGAGAGAGAGAGGAGAGAGAGAGAGAGAGAGAGAGAGAGAGAGAAAGAGAGACGGAGAGAAAGAGAGAGGGAGGAAGGGAGGGAGGGAGGGAGGGAGGGAGGGAGAGAGAAAGAAAGCCCTCGCGGTCGAGGGCGAGCAAGTTCGGTCGAGTCTCACGAAGTATGCGGGAGGCTTGTGGTCTACTACCTATATGCACGTATATAGACACACACGTATACACACGGAGCGCAAATGTGTACACGTAGTGTAACGACCACCCAGGTACATCATGTATAGACGAGCGCTCTAGGAAAATTCTAGAGAGAGAGAGAGAGAGAGAGAAACATATATGTCGCCGGAGTCGACGAAGACGAAGCCGAGTCGTACACGCCGGAGGATGACGATCAGGGTGTTGCCGAAAGCTATCGCTGTTGATAATCGATAAGTACTCACACGTATATGTTGGTCGATAGAGATCCGCGGAGGACCGGTGAAACGGGATGGACAGACGGACGCATTTATCGATTGGAAAGCTGTAAAGGAAAAGGACGGCGGTAATGACAGCGAAGGGTTGTTTCGTAGCCTGCCGCCGGACCTCCGCGCGGACGCGCCAAGCTAAAGGCCAAGCGCGTTACTTTGAACTCTGCAGGATTCCTCCGGATGAATTCACGAGAGATTAGACGGTGAGAAGAGTCGGACACGCTCTTAAAGCGCTGCAGTTAACGCGCGCTTTTCGCGCCGGACACGTGACACGTACCTAAAGTACGTTCCTGCGGAGGTAAATGCACACACGTGTGTGTGTGTGTGTGTGTGTGTGTGTGTGTGTGTGTGTGTGTGGAAGTCCTGCGGATGAGTTTCGGGTCGAGCTAAGTAAGCGGGATATGCATCCATCTCTCTCTCTCTCTCTCTCTCTCTCTCTCTCTCTCTCTCTCTCTCTCTCTCTCTCTCTCTCTCTCTCTCTTTCTCTCTCTTACACACACACACACACACACACATTTACTCTCTCCCTTTCTTTCTCTCTCTTTTACCTTTTACCGATGTGCGCGACGTGTTGGGACGTGGAGAGACATAGTGAACGTGTGTGCAACGTGAGGACATCGGTGCGTGTGTAGGTAGGTAGGTATGTACAAACGTGCGTTCTCCCTTGGTTATACACAGGGTGTTCCGTTGCTAAGAACAAAGACCGCTGGTTACCGGTATATTTACAACGGACCGGCCAAAAAATGTGTTCTCGGAAACATTCCCGGTAGGAAGTGACGTGCTCGAAGGAGGTCCCTTCCGAGACTGGATGGAACTAAGCGGACTTTTCTGCGTCAGCTTTCCCACACACTGGGCTGCGACATTTTGATCAAAGTACCAACGAATACTTATGAAAGTGTGAAAGCACATCGAATATTCTAAATATAATTATTGATTCTTGAATTGTTAATTTTACATCGGACATAGTTCGCCGTGCACAGAGTGCACCGGGAGCTTCTTATTTTTCCGAGAGTCTCCGTTGGCCTATCTCTTGGCGACGGAATCAGGATCGATCTCAATTAAATTATAAGCACCGAAACACGGCGAGAAAGAAGAAGACCATCAGCCATCTAATTCTTTTGATCCCGAGCGCGGTATCGATCTTTCAAATCATCGACAAGCTTTCCCAAGAAACGGACATGTAAGGAAAGAAGAAAAGAGTCGACGGAGTCAATGTTCGATTTCCACGATTAAAAGACCCGAAATTTCACGAAGGACAGAGAAGAAGAGAGAAAGAGATATCCATTTCTAGAAACTTCCTTAGACTCACATAATTTTTTTTTAGTAGACCCGCGGAATATGCTATCAGAGTGCGAGTCGTCGAGTTCGTAAATCACCAGTTCGTAAACCGGACAAGAGTGACAACCGGCGCGCATCGGTGCCGGAAGTCATCATCAGCGGCGTCAAAGAGGAGAGTTCACCCGGTGAACAACGAGTCGTCGACAAGTAGCACGTCATCGTTGGCACGCGCGGCCAAACAGACGGGATCATTCGGCGACTTTCCGCGGCGGCGATGGCGGCGATGGCGGCGGCGGCGGCGGCGGCGGCGGCGGCGGCGGCGGCGGCGGCGGCGGCGGCGGCGGCGGCGGCGGCGGCGGCGGCGGCGGCGGCGGCGGCGGCGGCGGCGGCGGCGGCGGCGGCGGCGGCGGCGGCGGCGGCGGCGGCGGCAGCGGCGGCGGCGGCGGCGGCAGCGGCGGCGGCAGCGGCAGCGACGGCGACGGCGGCGGCGGTGGCGGTGGCATTCCGCACGCGCGCGAATTGAGTCGCATTCTCGCCGTTCGAGCTCGTCCTCGCACGCCAACGAGTGACGAATGAATGATTTTCGGCGCGGGACACCCTGTGTGTGCATGTAACGCAGGCGCAGGCAGCTGTCACCTTACACCCATGGAGGAGGCATGGGGCTCTGCGGCGGCCATTCTCAACTTATCTCTAGGATCTTTGTAAACATGTCGTGAAATCCGAGTATTCCGACAGTGGCGTAGATCACGAGGTGGCGAGGTGGAGGCTCTATCGGGAGGCTGCGCCCGTCGAAATTTAAATCGGCCATGCGCGCATACCGCGTGCACACCCGATGAGGCCACGTCGCCTCGTCGACCCGACGGCGACGAGTTCGAATCTCGATGTCGCGGCCGCGCGCTAATGACTTCCGCTTATTCCGCGAGGACACGACGACGACAATCGTCTCGCCAAAATCGTCCTCTTCTTCCTCTCTTTCATTTGTCTCGTCGCAAGCGTGGCAGGACGACGCATCGGCGTCGTGCTTCGACTCCTCTTCCGTCACCACGCATTTTCTCGTCTCGATTAAAATCCTCGGTCGGCGTCGAATCCAACGCGCGGCGGCGGCGTCGCGACGTTGCGCGTTCGTCGTTCCCCTGGCAACCAGGACCACAGCGGCAGCGTCACTAAATGGGAACGCATCTTTGTTCCGTGCTAATAAAAAGGACACGCCGGCTTATACCGCGTGTGTCTCGCCCTTACCCCATGTGTCCTGCTTCATTTCGTTCAGGGAATGCGCTTTAGTGTCGTGGTAGTCTTTTGAAGCTATACGGAGATCGCGGTTGCGGGGAGAATCACGCGTTCGCGATAAAGTCTGAATTTCGCGATGAAAGTATTCGAAAATGACAGAGAATTAAACATCCTCGTAAATGTGGATCAGGAATGGTTGTTCAACGAAACGAGATGTATCGCGATGTCATTTTTTTTAAGTATAATAAACTTACCCCCATCTTACCCATCTTATTCAATGTTGAGAATTGAGAAACGGTAAAAGGAATAAAATTCTAAATAAAAGTTTTCTCGACAGAAGGCACGATACCCAATCGGAGCGAGAAAAGAATACAAATATATATATAAGCGACGTTGACGTATGCGTGGTTTTTCAGCACCCTATATACTCGAGGGTCTCGCGACGAATTGGTATTTCGATCGATCGTGTTTTAATACATCGGCAAATATCGGTCTCCAACGTCCCTTCGGTCGGAGTTCTCTCATTTTATCTCTTATCCCACTTGGTCGTTCTCCACGCTAGAGTTGGAATTTCCTATGACTAATGGATGAATTAAAATCAAATTAAAAGGATCGACTTACATTAAAATCGAACGTCTAATCGTGAAAACGAGAATTGTTGTAAAATTTGCATATTTGCTTCTATTTCTCTCTTTCTTCTTCTCCGTATCTCGTAATCGCAGGTGAACTTTGACCTGGACGAAAAAGGCGTGAGCTTAGACAAGAAAACGGGAGAATCGAGAGAGAGAAAGAGAGAGAGAGAGAGAGAGAGAGAGAGAGAGAGAGAGAGAGAGAGAGAGAAAGAGAGAGAGAAGTGGGACCGAAAAGAGAGAAAAAGATAGATTCATAATTTAAAATATTTGCAATCAAAAATATGGCATGCATCTTTAATTTCTGTTCCATCCATTCTACCTTTCACGAAATGGGTGTCGCTTGTTGTCGAGGAGAAAAATGTTGTTCGTTTATCATCAACGTTATCGGGACATTCCACACACATTCACACACACACACACACACCCGTACGCACGCAAATGTAAAATGATGTTTTTTCATATAAATTATTCGTTGCACATTCCTCCGCGAGACCAATGGAACGTTTTCCTTGAGAGCGCGCGTTATAACGTTTTAATAAAAGTGCGTATAGTTACTGTTATACGTGACATTTCGAGGCTATTGAAGATTCTGTGCCTCAGGACTCGCCAGACAAGAACCGCAGCAACGTGAAACATAATACAAGTTGCACCAGCCAGTCCTAAGCTCAGCCATGCGAAGCAGCCAGCGGCTAAGGAACGCGACGTACGAATCAGATTACATCTTGCGTTGGCTGCTTATCTTTATTCTTCACCTTACATCGCCTCGATTCACCTCATTTCGCTTCAGTGACCAACCCTTCGATCGGCGTCTTATAACAACGCTAGCACGCATTATCGCACGCCACGAACAAATATATGCATATTATAGATTTGATTGCAAATATTTGTACGTTACACGCTTCGAAGATATAAATATATTATTGAATATATTTATTTATAAAAAATATCGGTCGATATTCTGGGGCATATATACATAGTTATAATTTAATAATTAAATTTTTTGTACAGAATATCGTAAATATTAGACGTAATATGTCTATATGTAAAACACAGAGGATTGAAGATATCCAAACTAGTAAGAGATTTGGTGATATTTTAAATGTTTGTCATTTATTTAGCACGTTGTCTTAATCTCTAATATTGTTTTCATCAAGGATTTTTAATATTTCAGTAATAAATAATAAACAATTAATGAAAACGAAAAAATATTCTGTGGGATGTTAAGGAGATATTATATAGCAGTGAAACTTTTTTAGTAAATGCAAATTTGTCAATTTGGTAAATGTGATTTGCTTACTTTAATTGAAATGTAAATGACAGGATGAATAGAGAGAAAGGAAAAACTGGAAAATGAAATAAACATCATCGATAATTTACGAAAGAGAAATATATTTCTTTTTATATGATAATATCCATTTTCTTATCTTATAGTTCGAAACTATATAATAGTTTTTTTTCTTTAATTTTAAATGTCGTAATCTTATTCTAAAGCAAATATGATTATAAATATTACTCTGTATCGGCACTGGTGGTCTGTATGAAAACTGGAGCTTGCGCGCCTTGCGCAACTTGTATAAGTTGTGGCTGAGTTTGAATTGGAGCGGTCTGTATTATTATCGGCTGATTACCTCCACCCTGCACCTGCATGCGAATCATCTGCAGTTGTTGGGGAGTCAGCTGAATCTGAAAGAAAACAATGATATAGAGGAAAATTAGCTCATCAACATGAGCCAGACATAATACAATAAAAATCTGGATTTGTTACTTAAAGGTATGATCTGAACTTCACTACTTACTGGTATATTCTGAACTTTATTACATCCTGATATATTCAGAACTTGACTACTCACTGGTATATTCTGAACTTCACCACTGGGAGCAACTACTTGTTGTATGATTTGTAGTCCACTTGTTTGAGAAGTAGGTGATTGTTGTGCTTGTTGCAATTGAATAATTTGTTGACCTGATGACTGTTGCGGACTTTGCACTGTGACCGTTTGCGTTGTATTTGTGCTGGTAGCTTCCTAAGATTTATAAAGAAAAAGACAACATTGAATATGCGAGACCATTTTAATCTTCCTCAGATTAGTAAAGAGGAAATATACTTGTTCTACAGGACTCCCGATGTTGATTGTTTGGATTTGTCCAGCGGAAGGTTGCACGATTTGTATGGGCTGTGCAGCAGTATTACTACTCTGTACATTTTGATTAGCTGAAGCTTGCTGCTGTGCTAACTGAAAGTAATAATGCACTTGATCCGAATTCATAGATGTGCGTACAGTACTTTCAGTTTGCGCCTTGCTTTGCTTCAGTTCATCCCTAGGTACTATGTCTATGAGAAAATCAAACTGATCATATTTCGTAATTGCCATTGCGATGTCGTTTCGTTGGAGAGTACGTCGTTTGTTGTCTTCTGTATGTACCCATGCTCGGAGAGTTAGTTCGTGTATAAAAATTTCTGCAGCTTTGGAGAAAAGCATAGGAGCTTCAGCGCTAATCATTTTCACATCTCCATCCAACTTCATAATCTTTTTTATCCTAGCTAATGGCAAAGATTGTGTTTTCAAGTCCATCTGCAAAAAGAATGATTGATTATAGAAATATTGAAGAATTTAACTTTAATAAACTTTTATAACAGTATAGATACTAACGGTTGTGATCTTCTTGATTTCCTCAGTAACTTTTGGCCAAAACTGAGTCAAAGATTGTTGAGCCTCAGAATTGCCTGGTGATGCAATTTGCAAATCACCATTGGAATCTCCTTCTACCTCACTGTCTTGATTACTATTATAAATAATGAACATTGTAAGTAAAATAATACAGTATATAATTATTGTTTTCAATTTTTTTATCTTCACTAAATCAGAAACAAATCTATGAAAGATGTAGCACCAATTCTGAAACTAAACTGAACATTTTGCATTTAAGTTAGTAATTTAAGAGCAGTTTAAAGTAACATATTTTGTTCCATTTAATTTAATTAAAACAATATTTTATTGATATCGATAAATTTTTATATCTGTAAATCCTACGTTTTCCTATTTGTATGTGTGTAATCTACTAGTGTTGCTGCGTATATAAATACTTATATATTGTTTAATAGGATATAACCTAAAAGAGAACAGGCAGATGTTTACTTACGTATTTACAAAGAACACAGACATCTTTGTTAACTGTTTTTTGTGATTACACAAAGATTGAATTTAAAAACATACGAAAAATTTATGACGGATCGTAACAACCATGGCCTTTTCAAATTACAATCAATGAAATAAACTATTACATCGTGAACCAACTACAATGCGTTCCTGTTACTGTAAATATTACTACATTCGCAATATGGTTGAATTTAGGTACTGTGTTGAAAATTTGATTAAATATGTAAAATTAACAAATAATACGTTAACGATAACGTTAAACTAATCAACACAAAAATTACAAGCTTCGACTGTTGATTTCTTTGTGTATACGTTCACACGACTTCTGATTCGCTGCCGATTACTCTCTACTAATATCTGAAATATACGACGTTTATTCTTCATTGAAAAATAGTTATGGAGAATTTACACTGTCCCCAACAGATAAAAAACTCATGTCACTGAAATATATAGTGGAATGAGAGAGAAGAGAGATAGTGTAGTTAGTGCAGGAGTGCAGCGATAAATAACACAAATAAGATGTTTTGTAATCAATAAAACGAACAACGTAGCATCTGAAAGTGAATTTAAGCAATTTTAAATATAATAGCCTATTTGAATGGACTTAGATTAATTAACCCAGGATCAATTAAGGGACACTTTTACTATAAACTGCAGTTAACTATCCCCGTTTTATGCCCATTTCTACCAACCTTGGTTAACTTAACCAGTTGGTTATTCCAACAGAATTGACCAATTGCATTTGTCGTTAATTAGAATTGTTAAGTGCGATTGATCCATTCCGATGGAACAACCAGTCGGTTAAATTAACCACGGTTGGTACAAACGGACATTAGTCACCTTGCAAGATCCCACTGAAATTGCGGTCGTGGACATAAAGGCTGCATTCAGCAGACTCATCAGTTGGACAACATTACTAGATTTACCACTGAATCTCGCTCCTGATTGGTAAATACTTCTGGGTCTATGAAGAATCTAAAAGAATGCTCCAATCACAGACAATAATCACTAAGCGCTCTCTGATCACTTTGTTCTACTGAACGAGGCCAATACTGAGTGCCTGTTTTTTTTGCAACTTTCAGAATGCATCCCGGCTCGGTCTTTTCGTGTGACACGGATCGATCTTCGCTCGATGCGTCAAGCGAAGCATGATCTTTACACAAATTAACCTGATGAGCAATAAACGGATAAACAATAGGAGTTCAAAGCTTCTTGTGAAGTCTTTTCGAATCCCGAATATTGATTCTGCAGGCCTCCCACTAAAGCCCGTATCAGACTACGGATTGGAATTGAGTATTGGATTTAACCAATCAGGGCAAAGTTTACTATATTTGAGATTATTTTCTTTTTTCCAACTGGTCAAATTTCAATCCAATTTCAATCCCAATACATAGTCTGACACGAGCTTAAGAGGTCCAGTAAGAATTTAGTAAGAAGATCAACAAGAGGTCTTTATGGCCTCTCCTGCCTTTTGGCGACTTTGCATCGCACTCGTTTAACGATTTCTATTGTTCTTATTGTTGTTTGGTAGGTTAAAGAATTAAAATTAGATTCGATTGTGAGTACCGTATTTCCTGTTTTTATTTTTCCAGAACATGTAATCGCAAATGTGTTAAGGTTCGTCTACATTAGCTGTAAGAGTAAGGCTGTAAGATTGCAAGACACGAAATGAAATATTTTCATTCGTTGACAGCTTACGTTACAGCCTTACAGCCATACTCTTACAGCTATTGTAGACGAGCCTTTACAACAATTTTCTAGAAGCTTTGAACACTTATTGTTCACTGGTTCTAAAATATCAAAACTCTTCTTTCCCGTATATACTTTACCACATATATTTAAGACCGAATCGTCCAATTCTGTGCGTGATATATTGGGTTGGTCAATAAGTCCGTGCGGTTTTTCTCGATAGATGGCTTCAAGGCGCTCTGCTAAGCTTTATCTTCAGTCGAAAGTCTTGAAAGCGTATAATCATTAGGCCTGTTCATTTCGTCTGCATTGCTGAACTGGTGCATTAAGGCCCAGTTAAACGGGGTTTAAAGCAAGTTGTGGAACTGGACCTAAGTTAAAGTGAAACAAACGTAGGTTTTCTCACTTCAACTTGTTGCACCAGTTCAGCAGTGCAGACAAAAGGAACAGGCCTATTGACAGATGACATTTCAACGTGCATTTAAAAAATATATGTAAATATTGCTTGTGTATCTTGTGTGTTTTGCGTCATCTGAAAATGAATAATCAGAACGAGCATTTTCGGCATATTATACTTTTTTATTTTAAAAAAGGCAAAAACGCGGCGCAAACCTGTAAAAAGATTTGTGCAATATATGATGAGGATACCGTAAAATAACGCGTGTGCCAAAGGTGGTTTGCGAGATTTTTCCGTCAAAGACAAACCACACTTAGGCCGACCAAATGAGATCGACAGCGACAAATTGAAGGCGATAATCGACACCAATTCTACACGATACGGGAAATTGCAGACGTTCTCCAAATATTGAAATCAGGCATGGAAAATCATCTGCATCAACTTGGTTATGTTAGCCGTCTCGATGTTTGGGTTCCGCACGAACTGAGCGAAGCTCATTTAATCTAACGCATTTCCATCAGCGATTCACTCGGAAAACGTGAGAAAAGTGATCCATTTCTGAAGCGTATGGTAACTGGCGACGAAAAATGGATCGTCTACGATAACATCAAACGCAAAAAATCGTGGGGGCAGCGCCTCGAACGACCACAAACTACTTCGAAGGCAGGGCTTCATCCGAGCAAGATCATGCTCTCAATTTGGTGGGATTGGAAGGGTGTTGTGTTCTACGAGCTACTTCCGAAAAACAGAACGATCAATTCAGATGTGTACTGTAGTCAACTGGATAAATTGAATTCAGCGATCCACGAGAAGCGTCCAGAATTGGTGAATCGCAGCATAGTTGCTAGATGCAATATATTGCGACGCTACAGCGCATGCGTGAGATGATGTAGAGCTCGCTGCTTGAGTAAAAGTCTCAGTATCGTATCTTTTTTAAGATATTATAGCGCCCGTATTATATTATGCATTGAGAATTGCAATTGAGTAAATTAGATAATCTAAATCGTGGTTACTTTAATTAATCCGATAGTAATTATTAATCTATAGTCTAATATGAACGTAAAATCCTTTATCTGAAATAAAAAATGTAAGAATTATAGGGAGAAAATAAAGGTTTTGTGAAAAGACAAAATAATGTTTATAATTAATAAGCATATTATTTTATTTTCTAATGACTGCAGGTAATTACATGAATACCAACATTCATCGTAAAAGTAAGGGAAACTGCAGAAAAACCTTACTAGTATTCTTACAATAAATATGAAATACAAAATATTCTTATAAATACATATTAATGCCATTAATTTTTAATAATTTGCGTACAATTTTTTCGTTTCAGTCTCAGATCTCTGACTATCTTTGAGTCATTGAAAATATCTTTTAAAAGAGGGATCATGTCGTTAACTATGTTCAAAGTTATATTATGAGTCACATAAAATGCAGCTAATTTTATCTCGGCTATTTTTACTTTAATAGCATGATCCTCTGATGCACTTTCTGTCACAGTTAATGGAACAGATGAACTGACATTATGAGTTTTCATATTCCAAACATGTTTCTCTGTTTGAGAATGTGCTATTAAATTTTGCTTGCCGCATGCTAATACTGTGCGACAAACCGAGCAGAAAGCTTTTTCTGTGTCTATGTGTGGTTTTAGCCAGTATTTAAAAATATTCATATCTAACCATGCTTTTTGAAATGTAGCGCTCTTCCTCCTCTTCTTCTCAATGCCACTTGATGTTGAAGGCTGTTGTTCATCCATATTTTATGGTAAATAAACTATACACTGCACTTTTACTTATCACTACTAATCACACTATCACTGGGCTTATGTTAAAACGTACTAAACATTAAGTAACAATTACATTACATTAACATTACAATTTTTCACTTAACAATGTCATTGTTACATAATACAAATATTATGTAACAGTTACATAGTTGAGTGAGAAATTATAATATTAATGTAACGTAACTGTTACTTAGTATCTACTGCACAATACACTGGGATAAGGCATTCCAAAGCACTCGCGCAAGAAACGCGGGAAAACTACGCGGGAAAACAGCTGATCGGATAGCGCAGGCCCCTCCATGGACCCTGCGATGCGCTTTATTGCCGTCATTGGCATATGTTTTCGTAGAGCTCTACGTCATGTCACGCATGCGCTGTAGCGTCGCAATATATTGCATCTAGCAACAATGACTACGTTTACACGGCAAGGTTAATCCGAATTAGTAACAACCGTAGTTAGTGAATTCTTTGATTCGATTGGTATATTCTTTTACATCTAAAAATATACTCTAATCGGATTCGAGACTGCACTAACTACGGTAGTTACTAAGCCGAAGTTAGAAGCTGTGTAAACGTAGTCTATGAATCGTAGAGGTGTCGTCTTTCACCATGACAACACTAGGCTGAACACATCTCTACAAACCCGGCAAAAATTATTGGCGCTAGGCTGGGATGTCTTACCACATCCTTCGTATTCTCCAGACATTGCACCTTCAGATTACCATCTGTTTCACTCCCTTCAAAATTCCTTGAATGAAAAGCATTTCGTTTGTGAAGAAACTGTCAAACGATACTTGGAACAATATTTTGCCCAGAAAGACAGAAAGTTCTTTGAAAGAGGAATTATGAAGCTGCCCGAAAGATGGCAAAAGATAGTAGATAACAACGGCCAGTACATAATTGATTAAAGTTATTATCTTCTATTAGGTGCGCAACTAAGTTCCCGCTGTTTTTCAAGAGATGGCTCCAGTAGTAAGTGCTGGTCGATTGTGACATAACCAAAACGTCATGAACCAAGCTTAGACATATGGTAAACAAACCGCTTTGACACATTAGTGATTTTGTTTTTGCGTCATATACTTTTGGTTGTGTGAAAATGTCTGATTTTGTGCCAAATAATCGTCATTTGCGGGAAGTGTTGCTTTTCTTCTTTCATTCGAAGAAAACGGCGGCTGAAGCGCATCGAGAACTCCAAAAAGTTTACGGAGATGCTGCTCTAAGTGAAACAACGTGCCGTGATTGGTTCCGTCGCTTCAAAGACGGTGATTTCGATGTTGACGACCGTTCGCGTGAAGGAAGGCCAAAAACCTTCGAAGACGCTGAATTGGAGGCATTGCTCAATGAGGATCCGTGCCAAACGCAAAAAGAGCTTGCTTCAGCATTAGGAGTTACCCGCCAAGCCATTTCCAAGCGATTGCATGCGTTGGGAATGATTCAAAAACAAGGAACTTGGGTTCCTTATGATTAGAAGCCAAGAGACGTTGAGCGTCGTTTTTTCGCCTGTGAACAACTGCTCCAGCGGCAAAAAAGGAAGGGTTTTCTTCATCGCATCGTTACGGGTGATGAAAAATGGATTCATTACAGCAACCCAAAGAGAACAAAATCATGGGGACTGCCCAGTTATGCTTCTACGTCGTCGGCTCGGCCGAATATTCACGCTGCGAAGGTTTTGCTGTGTATTTGGTGGGACCAGGGCGGTGTTATTTATTATGAGCTGTTGAAACCGAACGAAACCATCACTGGGGAACGGTACCGAACTCAATTGATGCGATTGAGCCGAGCACTGCGCGAAAAGCGGCCACAATACGAGCAGAGGCACGAAAAAGTGATTCTACAGCATGACAACGCTCGGCCTCATGTTGCCAAACCCGTTAAAACCTACTTAGAAACGCTCAAATGGGAAGTCCTACCCCACCCGCCATATTCCCCAGATATTGCGCCGTCCGATTATTACTTGTTCCGTTCAATGGCACATGGTCTGGCTAATCAGCAGTTCCGCTCATATGAAGACATCTCAAAATGGCTTGATTCGTGGATAGCCTCAAAAGACGAACACTTCTACCGTGACGGTATTCGAGCTCTGCCAGAAAGATGGGAAAAAGTTGTCGCTAGCGATGGGCAATATTTTGAATGATTCATTTGTAACCATTTTTTCACAATAAAGCTGCATTTTCATAAAAAAAAAACAGCGAGAATTTAGTTGCGCACCTAATATATAAATAATCATCGATCATTTGTAAGTAAAAAACCGTACGGGCTTATTGGCCAAATCAATATATTATAGACTGGTTGAAATTGTGCTTTATTGCAATATTATGCATGTTTTACAATTATAACATTATGCTTAAATGATTTAAATGAAAGTTAATAAAAATTAAAGAGAATTTATTGTATTAAATAACTTTTCCATCCAGAACTTATTTCTATAAAAAATATGAAATCTCTTAAATAAAAGTAACTGAGTTTTTTATTTTGACATTTCTCAATTTCTAATTTATATATATATAATATATAAATATATAAATAATATGTGACAATATATTGCATCCTTTTGAATTTTTCTAACATACGAGGGCAGTCTGAAAACTTCTCGGCCTGGCACATAGATGGCATTAAAACTGTCAAACTATAATTGTATTGGAAAGTGGCATCCTTGATATAAACCCATGTAAAATTTTATTTTGATCTATCAAGCATTCGAGTAGTAGCAGCAGTTTAATATTGATGTATCATAATATTGATGTATCAAAATGTCTTTTTTAAAATGAAAAAAACTGAATATCGTGCAGTGATTAAATTTTTTGTTTCGGATGGTTTAACACCAACAGAAATTTATCCGAAATTGTTAAAAGTGTATAAGGATGCATCACCTTCACTTTCTACTGTGAAAAAATGGGCTGCTCTTTTTAAATCTGGTCGTACAAGCTTCGAAGATGATCCACGCGAAGGTCGTCCAAAAACTGCTACAACACCACAAAACATTCAACAAGTCCATGATATGGTATTAGATGATCGACAAGTGAAAATGCGTGAAATAGCTGAGGCCATAGGCATTTCAAAAGAACGAATTGGAAATATTTTGCATGAAAAATTACATATGAAAAAGCTTTGTGCAAGATGGGTGCCGCATTTGCTAACAATTGACCAAAAACGCATTCGAATGCGTATTTCTCGAGCGGGTTTGGGTCGTTTTAAGCAAAATCAAATGAATTTCAAGCGTCGTTTCGTAACTGTTGATGAAACTTGGATCCACCACTATACACCAGAGCAAAAAGAACAGTCGAAACAATGGATTGAAGCTGGTGGAAGTGCACCAAAAAAGGCAAAGACAGTTCCATCAGCAGGAAAAATTATGGCAACAGTTTTTTGGGATTACAAAGGTGTTTTGTTGATCGATTATCTTCAGAAAGGTAAAACAATTAACTCTGAATATTATTGTAACCTTTTGGATCTATTAGATGCAAAAATTCGTGAGAAAAGACCTGCTTTAAAGAAGAAAAGAATCATTTTCCATCAAGACAATGCACGTGTTCACACAAGTGTTTTGACAATGGCAAAATTCAACGAATTAAAGTACGAATTGCTTGAACGTCCAGCGTATTCACCAGATTTAGCTCCCTCTGACTATTATCTATTTCCAAACTTGAAAAAATTCCTGGTTGGAAAGCGTTTTACATCAAATGATGAAGCTATTGCAGCCGTGAATGGATATTTTGCAAACCTTCCTGAATCATACTTTAATGATGGCATTGAATTATTGGAAAAACGTTGGAATAAATGTATTGAAGTTTCAGGAGATTATATTGAACAATAAAACATATTTCACAGCAAAAAAAATTTCTTTCATTATTAGGCCGAGAAATTTTCAGACTGCCTATGTAATATATATATGGTAGAAAGTTGATAAAAACATTTAATGTCATCTATTTATTTTTTGAGAAAAAGCTATATATACATTAAGTTCTGTATATAACAATCTTAAACGTGAATTGCCTTATAACTACAGATTTTCTGGAAAACAGAATTTAATACTTCTTTAGCAGTATGTGTATCAGTATTATTTATCCTTATTATACTTCCAAATTCTCTGATGTAATGATCTAGTTCCCTGTCACTTGATAGGTCTTTCGTCACCATGTATTTGTTAGTAAGTTGTGACAACTTTAATAGATCAGAGCTAAACGCCTCATCCAGATCAAATAACTCTAAAGCAGGTGGTGGTAATTCTTGAAAACTTGGTGGAAATACCTATGGATTTATTCCGAATTTATATTATTCGAAGGTAATAAATCAATAATATATAATTTTGACATACTCACCGACGCCTGTGTAGGAGGTAAAGGTGCCTCAAAATGAGGCGAAATCAAACTAAGAGGCTCATGCTTCACACCCAGAGCTTCATACGCCTTTATACAAGCTGGTATCATATTCAGATTAATAGAATAAAAATGATGTTTAAATAGTTTCGTATATTCACGAGGTATATCTATGTTATCCAAATCTTGTGTGCAAACTTTTGGATTATCTGCTTGTTGAGTTATATCCGGTATGAAATTGTACTCCCAAAACTGCACACATAGAAATATCCTTTGTTAACAGTCGCTAAAGAAGACAGTTGCTTGATCTCTGTCTTGATCAAGAAATTATGTTGTATTTTCTGCAAGTTTTCTACAAACTTACGTCTACATCATCGGTGTGAACATCCGCTGTTTCAAAGATATTTAATTCAAAAAAGTCAAAGATCATCTCACGCAATGCGTCGTTGTTCTCTTTTTCTATGTAAGTATCTGTCAGCATTCTAGACGAGCCTAACACAACCAATTTGCCACCACTGTCCTTCACACAATGATATGCGCAAATAGGTCTATTCATTGGAATGGCAACAGATCCACTGGACAATGCCACTACAGATGGTTGTACTACATTTAAAGTTGCCCCATATGGATACAGGAATTTTATATTACTGAAAGGATTATCTATTAATAAGCAAATTTATTTTTAAAGTTAAGGACTAAATACAATTCTACTTTTTATTTAAGACTTACATATATTCATTATGATCTTTCAGAAAGATAGACTTGTTTGACAGTCCTTGACAGATGAGAGATTCTTTGGGATGCATTGTTTGACTGTAACTCATACGAGCTACACTATCTGCAACATAGAAATTAATGTGTAAATTTATATATATTCGCTTTTGTATTTATTTTTGCTTTTATCTAGTAAAATTATAATTTTATTTGTATGTGTACATATCATTAAAAATTATTTTACATACCGTTATTCACCATTATGCCAAACTCTTCCAATAAGAAATTAATATTTGTGTTAGATTTATTTTCGCCACCCTCTCCAAGTGTGACAAGAATATTACCACCGGAATTTAAAAAACTTCTAATAGAATTCACTTCTAATTCAGTAAATTTACTTAATGGTCCTGGTAATACTAAAATTTTTGCGTTTGTTAATGATTCTTGTGATATCACTTCATTATTCCTGAAACATGTAAATTAATTATTATTTTAACATGTATTTTATATAGTTGACTTGTATGTTGCATTTTTTGCTTCGAGAATCTTTTGCTCACTCAATAAATTTCCATTTTGCTTTCAATTTACGTTGCAGCACTTTGAATTCGTCGTTCAGTTTTCTTTCATTTTTTGATACATCGAAAAGAATGACATTTTCATTATTATCACCGCCGGGAATCGAGCTCATTGTTAAATTACAATACAAATAAACTTGTTAAATAAATTGTGACATCACATCGTTACATTTAGTAACTGTTGGTAACTGTCAGCAATTGTCAAAATGTATGTATCAAAACATTTCAGTGCTTCGTTGCTATGGCAATAATGGTCGCGTTCAGCAAAAACAGCTGGTTACAAAGCGTTTAGTAATTATTATTTATGATTGGAGTATTCTTTTAGATCTGCGGATACAGGAGAACGAACCAATCAGGAACGAAAATCATGAAGCAGTTTTTTCTGCTGAACGCAGCTATTCGCTGCATTCCGATATTCACTGTCAGTATTGAAAATACATAGTTTGTATCACCTATATTATAGATTTTCAGTGCTGGCAGTGAATATCGGAACGCAGCCATTTAGTCTGTTCTTTTTGGCTGCACTGCGGAATTAATGCAATAAGTTAAGCCAGCGGCACACGATGCTTGTTTTCGTGCTGGATTACTTGCTGGATGAAAATACTGCGTTCTGATTGGTGCATTTCCATCCATCTTCGGAAATGTACCAATCAAAACGCAGCATTTTCATCCAGCAACACAGATGTCTATACTATACTAGATTGCTAACTTCTCAAAAGAGCTGTGTCCCGCCCATTTTCCGGTTCGGCCATGAAGACCGCCAAGTCATGGCGGCGGTGTGTGTTTGTAATGTGTATGTGAATACCCGATGCGTATGTAGTAGTGCGTGGTAGTGCGTATGTGACACCTGATGTGTCTACTACTATTTATGTTAGTAAAACTGCAAATCTACAAACGAGATAATGCCGAATAAGTATTGTAAATTTCAAAAATACGAACAAGAAAGAATATCATTTAAAGATGTGTGTATTAATAAGGTGTTGCTAATCTAAGTGTTTGGTAAAGGTTAAAATTAAATTGAATATATACAGTTCAAAATATGTCAAAGTATTTGTATTAATATTTTTTACATACATATAAAGAATAAAATGCAACTTATGTGTTATTAAATAATATTAATTTTGTAAATTTGTATCTGTTACTTGCAGGATTTCTATCTTTCGTTGTTTTTGTAAGTGAATACATTCTAATATTAATAATATTAATAATATTAACATAATATTAATAATATTAACATAATATTAATAATATTAACAATGTTTAATTGCAAGATAACCCTCACATATTACAAACCTCGAACATTTATTATATATAAATGTATTCTACTTACTTAAATAAGTGATATCCTTTTTTATTCGTATTATTGCAATTAACAATGCAACATGTACTTGGCATTATCTCGTTTATATATTTGCAGTTTTACTAATATAAATAGCAGTAGATACGACGCATCAGTGTAGACACATCAGGTATCACATACTTACAGTACAGCACTACTACACACGCATCGGATACTCACGTACGCACTACAAACACACACCGCCGCCATGTTTTGGCGGTCTTCATGGCCGAACCGGAAAATAGGCGGGACACAGCTCTTGTATAGGTCAAAGATCGAAGTTAGCAATCTAGTATAGTATAGACATCTGTGTCCAGCAAGCAATCCAGCATGAAAACAAGCACCGTGTGCCGCTGGCTTTAGAATGAGACAACTACATTTTTTCTCACTTTAACTTATTGCACTAGTTCAGTAGTGCAGTTAAAAAGAACAGATCAGATATCTCAGGTAAAGCAGTAATCACACTAGCGATTGCCGATTGAAGCAGCGTTCCGATAGCTAGTATTAAAAATCTATAGCTCGTGGCACGTATATTATAGAGTTTCAGTACTGACAGTGGCCGTGTTCCAAAATTCACTGCCAGCGCTGAAAAGTTATAGTTTGCGTGATACAAATTATATATTTTCAGTACTGGCAATGAATTTTGGAACATGGCCAGTGAATATCGGAATGCAGCCTGAATTGCAATTGCGATTGGCGATTTACCAACCAACCAGAGCAAAACAAGCATGGATTGAGATTGGTGATTCACACTATTTTAATTGCCAATCGCCAATCACAATCGTAATCCAATCGGCAATCGCCAATGTGATTACGGCTTTAGCTGTTCCGCAGAAAAAACTAACATCAATATATTTCTTTTCCAATACTTTCCCACAAAAGAAATAGGTCTACCAATATATGTATATCTCTAATTTAGAGCCACTTTTAACTTCCGAACTAAAAATATATTCCTGATTTATAGTCATTTTTAAACTGGATCTACAATAGTGTGGTAAGCTTTAAGCCGTAAGAAATTGCCCAATCACAATCAAATATAAAAAGAATACTCAATTATGATTGGTCAATTTTTTACGGTTGGAAGCTTACTACACCCGTTGTAAACCTAATTTTATCAAATCTCGATTAAACTATTTATATAGATTATTCAAACTATTAATTCCTGTTTTTAAAATATAACTCGTCCCTTTAATTAATTAAAAAAAAATTAAGACAACCGAATTCAATAATCTGAATTCTATGATATTGCAGGGAGCGCTTTTATTCGCTGTCAATGAAGTTAGTTCGCCTTCTGATCGATTCGTTACAAATTTTCGCTGCCAGATCCCACTGAACTCGAAATACCGGGAAGGTCACATCGCGAGCTCGGTCGCTCCTTTTACGTGGGTGGCGGTGAAGGGGATCGATGTTTCGCACGCTCGACCGTGGTGAGAGAGTATCCGGCTCCGCCGCTCGTCGACCAGTACGGTTGACCCACGTTTGTCCCGTACCGGCTGATCGACGCTGCGTTACCAGCTTGGTCCTCGCGGGATTTGCGAGCTCCTTCGAAGAGCGATACGTTTTATCGCGCACGGTGGCATCTCTCTTTCTCTCTCTCTTTCCGTCTCTTTTCCTCTTTCTCTTTTACTATCGTCCGTTTTTGTCTCTCTTCATCCGATCGGTCTGTCTCTTTTCCTCTCTATCTGTCTTCCTCTCCATCTTACACACACACTCTCTCTCTCTCTCTCTCTCTCTCTCTCTACCTCTCTCTCCCTTTCCCTCTCTCTTTCGCTCTATATGCTGCGGACTTTTTGGGATCTCCTGAGTAGGGCGCGAATGCACACAAGTACGAGACGCAGATAGGAAGAGAGAAACGGACGAGACCGGATAAAACGAGCGGGCGAGTGAGCGATCGAGCGAGCTAACGCCCGCGCGTGCGACGTCTCGCCGCGCGAGGGCTGAGAACGGCGACGCAGCGTGCTCCGCTAGCGAGCGAGCGACAAGTGGAGAGAGACACGAGCGCGCGGCATGGAGACCCTCGAATCGAGCCGCGTGTGCCGCCTCTGCGGCCAGCAGTCCGGTATATCCATCAACATCTTCGATGAGAATGAGAACCATGTCAGGAAAATCAACACGGTGCTGCCGATCATGGTATGTTATGCTCCGTCTTTCTCTCTCCCTTTCTGTCGCGCACCGCGTTCTCTCTCTCTCTTTCTCTCTTTCTCGCCCTCTTCCTCGCCCTCTTCCTCTTCCCCTTCTCCACTCTCTCTCTCTCTCTTTTTTCTCTTATTCTGTCTTATTCTCCCGCTCCCTTCGCTGATTCTCCTTTCTACCAGAGGGTACGCGTTATCGCGCTCTTATGAGTACGAACATGTGTGCGTTCCTTCGTGACTCCTTGTCCTTGCACAATAGCACCCAAGCTCACCCTTCCGCCTCTAACCAACCACTTGACCGAAGAACGGTGCGGCCTCTCCTTTGTCCCGATCCTCCCTTTGTCCTCTCCCGCCGCTGCGATACCTAAGCGTGCATTTTTCTCGCATCGCTGACGGAAAGCCCGGGAAAGCCATAGAACGACGTGAGGAGCCTGTCTCAGGTGTTTTTTGCACGATAGATTACTGGTAAAATTCGGGTCTGGCTATGCATCCACGTGCCCCTTACACGGGGGGACGAGGGTGAGGTAGATAGGTCGCCGGCCTCGCATACGCGAGATGACTCGAGCGACGAGTAAATTCTTCGCGAGCGAATCCCCAGGTTCTGGCGATCCCATCGATTCTGCCGCGAAAGTGAGGTTATCGTCGCTTTCGCGCGCTTACGGCGTTCCGAAATGCGCCGAGGGCCGCGCGGATTATTGCGTAACCCGCGTGGCTCCAATGATCTCGTCGAATTTTCACGCCGTCGTGAATCGCGGGGGTGGCAGTAGGAGGCGGAGATTGTTTCTTTTTCCCGTTTTGCATCTGGAACGCAGCAGTCTGGAATCTCTTGCGTTTTCCTGCGCACTCGGCGTCCTGCTTCGTCCACCTTCCGCTCCTTTTCTCTCCTCGCGCGTCTCACCGACGCTTGGCCATGGAGAATAATAACAATAGAGATGGAATGAGACAGAGCTATTCCTGTTACCGAAATCAATTAATAATGAAAAGAAATCAGGAACCGTCGAGAGCGAATCCCGTCGTCCATTATTTGACGACAAGATCGTTCTCGAGATTCATTAATCGCGATCATTCGGAGATAAGATATCTCCGAGTCGACCAGATTGTTCATTTATTCTGCATTAATTAATGAAGCGTGTCGGATTTCGCATTACGTCGTGTACACACCGATTTAACATCTGGATTTTTCTACGTGCTTAACATTCCGATGACATAAACAGCGTGATTCATGCTCGAACGACACGCGTGCGTTGTGTCACAATTTTCCGTGCAATGCAATTTGCATGCTCTTATCTACTCCGCTTGATGCAGTTAAATGCTTCAGAGGGGAACATAGAGAAAGAGAGAGTGAGAGAGACAGAGAGAGAGAGAGAGAGAGAGAGAGAGAGAGAGAGAGGGAGGGAGGGAGAGAGGGAGGGAGGGAGAGAGGGAGGGAGAAAGAGAACGTATATTTATTATTGATTGTAAATTTATTGATTGTAAATTATGAATTGGCAATAAAATTCATGATACACTTTATTCGTTCAACTTTGAAGCAATTAGCGAGGACAACCGGTTATCCCGCACCGCGATAATATTAATGAACGGGAGTTTCCAAGTTTGCAACTTGCTTCGCACGTCATTGCACACACATACACACACACACACACATACACATATATACGCATACACATACGTGCCTTACAAAAGCGCTTGCCTACCTAAAGTAACGAGATTCGATTATTCCTCTTTCCCTTGTCGCGACACGATAATTTAGTTCCGCAGCTGCTGTGAGATTCGCATGAAGCCGTAAGTCGTGCACGTCCGTCAGCAGTCGAACGTGGAACGGTCGAAGAGTTTCGGTGTGATAGAGCCGCGATAACTCTCCTCCTCGCGGGAACTCGGAGAGATTGATCGTGTGAGCTCGAGAAAGTTACGTCCGATCCGAGTAGACTCTGTAAATCTCTGATTGAAATAAATCAAGGTCTCCTCGGATTCTGGTGCGATTAACTTCCCGCAGCGACTTCTCGACAAAGTCTGTTCAGTCACATCTAACACTCGCCGAGCCGACGTTTCCCCGTTCTCGCTCCTGTATTATTTTCATCTTCTCGTCGAACTTATGAGCGGACGAATTCAAGGCAACTCTGAACGCTATTTTGCAGGTTCACGAGATGGACCTGCTGCCGAAGCACATGTGCCACCGATGCAGCTACAAGCTGGAGGAGTTCCACAAATTCTACGTGGACTGCCTGAAGACGGACACGACGCTGAAGAACCAGTTGTCCTGGATGCAGAAAGGCCACGGCAGCGGCAGGGAGAAGAACAGCGTGCCGATGGTGCATATCGAGAACGTGAACATTAAGACGGAGCCGTTGGACTACGATGTGTACGAGCTGGAGCCGATAGTCGACAACATCGACTACATCAACTCAATGGCGAACTCCGTGACGTTCCCGGCCGACTGCATACGTGACGGCCTGACATACGCAGCGTTCTCGCGCTACCGATGTTGCTGTGATAAGGACCAAAGCAGACGAAGGAGTAAGCTGTGTCGGAATTACGAGGGCTCGGTGTCCAGGTGCACCGAGATCGCGAACAACTCGCGGCGGAGAGCGGCTCTTGAAGACGCTTGCGTCAGGCTGAAGTCGGCTAAGCGGAAGGCTGCGTTCGCGTGTGCGCTTCAAAATCGACCACGAGACCGTCCGTCATGTCTCGACACTGTCGAAGAGGCGCGAGTTCGCCTCACCAGCGCGGAAGCCGAAGATACGCCCTCTCAGGACACGCGGAATCGTTCTCATAGTAGTAAGTACGTGGCGGTTGCTGAAACGTCTCTTCAGACGGCTGATTTCTCCAGCAGCACCGTGGTGAGAAACTTGAGGCCTAGGAAGAATTTGATAAACTACGCGCTGAACAAGAAGCCAATGTTGAATGTTCAGGGACCATCCACGAAGAATAAGACGAACCGCGCCAACTCGAGCGTAAATCCCGCGTCGGGCCTCGAGCTGACGCGGCAGATCAAAGTGGAGCAGCTGGACGAGCTGGAGGGACGTACCTTGAGACCGAGGATGAACGTTGTTAACTATTACGGACCGAAGAAAAAAAGTACAGCATCGGAGTCGGCACGTCGCGAGCAGAGAAAGAAATCAGAACTGCCGCGTTGCGCGAAGAGAAGCAAACTGGACGATGTAAGTCGGAGCTCGAAGCTGCAATCGAAAGACAAGGATACACCGAATGAGCTGAAGTTGAGGATAAAACAGGAAACTCCGGACGACTTGAATGATGTGATGCTCGACGAAACGACCAACGTGATGTCCGCGTTAGCGAACAACCATGCGAAGGTCGCCGATTTGCCGGCGACGGTGACGGCATTGGCGAGCAATGCCAGTGTCAATCTGCGAGACAGTGTGAGTTACCTTGGATCCAACCGATTGCAACCCGATGACAAGTTCCAGCTGATTAAGGACAAGTCGATCGTCGCCACGAGTACCAAGAACAGGTCTGTGAGGTCGAAGAAGGTCGGTCGTTTTATCAGGAATAATTATGCGTCCAAGTGCCTGAGGAGTCAGAATACCTACCTGAGGAACGGCAAGGTGCGCAGATACGACTACGTGAAGTGGTCGGTGAAAAAGCTACATCCGAAGAATCTGATAGATGCGGTAGCGAAGAACGCGAAGAAGGTACCGGCAATGCTGAAGTTGGCCGAGAGCATCAAACATTATTGCGAGACGTGTAACGTTAGCTTCATGAATATGGAACTGTTCAGGCTTCACGTGTGCTACTACGATTGATTTCCTCTTAGTGATCGTGTGATATTCGAACTATTGGATACGAAGGACGTCCAAAAGACGTCCGAGAGCTCAGGAAGACGACGGTTTTCTAAAACCCAAATAGACGCTCGGTAGAGTGAGAACTTTGCGCTGAATGACAAATATTTACCATAAAAACCAGAGATTTCTTTCGTGTGAAAGGATATTCACGAAAAAAGGCTTCCAGACTTCCATGGTAGATAGTACTAAGTAAAGAGTTATACTAGATAGAAAGTACTTAGTAAGTATAAATCGAAAAGCCAAGCCTCTTAGAGTTATAAACGTTTCCGATTTTGGCAACGCGCTTCCATCGATCATGCGCGATAAAAAAAGTACAAATATCTTACCATATTATTACTCCGATCTCTACGAAAAGTGTTCTGCGCGTGCCCTCTTTTCTCTTTACTTCGGGATGAATCGGTTGTATGGCTTTCTCGATCTCCCGACTTAAATTTACTGGATTTCCTTTTATGGGGATGCAAGAGAAGCTTAGTTTATTCTTCAAGCATCATAAATAATATGTAAGAATACATCAGTGAATTGAAGATGCAGCTGAACAGATTCGACGATACAGCTTGCGATACTGTAATTCAAAGATGTCAAGCGTGTGTAGAAATGCAAAGAGGACATGTAGAACTATAGTGTACTTATTGTGAACAAAGCGATGATAAACTAATAATATGATAAGATATTCATTTGTTTATCCAAAATTAGAAATTGAATTAAAATCGAAGGACGTTTGTAACTGTCTTTCTCTCTTTCTGAGAGAAAGTTGATTTTTCGATCTATATTTATCAGGTACTTTTTACTCAATATAATGAATATAAAGTATCCTGTAAGGGAGTCTGAAACCCTGTTTTGAACATCCTGTTTATTTACATATATAAGTGGTGTTGAAAATTTCGATTAATATTCGAATATTTTGGATAGTAGCAGGGGTTTACTTATGTTTAAGTATTTGGAAAATGATGGGACGGTTATCCGAAAAATGTGCCTGTCCTTGAAAATGTATTCAAAATATCCTCGTACTATCTTAGTGCCAACCATATAAGTTCTTTTTTTAAAAATCGGATCATTTTTTCAAAATCGGATCTTTTTTTCAAAATCGGATCTAATTAACAATATTAAGGATTCTAATGAAAAATTATGTATTTGTTGTTGCTTATACATCATATTTTGATTGTACATGATATTAGCAGCATGACAGTACTTGGCAATCGTTTGTTATAAATAAAGATATATACATTATACATATAAAGATACGTAATTGTGCTTACATATTTTTGCCGATTTACAGGATATTAAAGCTATGACGATCGTTGCGATATACGCTTAAGATTTTATGTAGTGATACACGAGTCGCCTTCAAAAAATAAGAATACGAATATATATATACATAAATCTATATAGAGATATATTTTATCAAATACAAGAATATATATATATGTATATGTATGTATGTACATATATATATATATATATTGAAATCGATGAGACCATGTGATATGTTGTAGAAGAATAACGACTGATTTTTTGGAGAATCTTCGTGATATGCAAATTGACAGACATAATAATTGAATATTTCTTTTCGTGCTATTTTCAAATTTTATATATCGACTTCGACATGAAATAAAAAATTGTGCAAATATATATTAATACATGTAAACATTATGTATTTTTTCTTTATAATAGCTTTGTACGTACAATCTTTTTCTTTTTTAATCAGCATAGAAGAATTTATCGATGCACAGTTGTAACTCACAGTTGTAAATATTACAAAAACGATATATGAATAGTTTTATATTAAATTGTGTGAAGAACTAATGGTACATAGGTTTATGAAAAAAAAGTATTCATTTTTTTAAAAAACTTTTCGCATGGATGAGGTAAATCCTCTCCAGTTATACACATAACGTGAATTTATCAATAATTGAACTATTTTAGTATTGCTATACCACGAAACTTAATAATCAGGTAATATTTTTACATTATGATTAATTCATAGTAGCTTATTACGACACTATAAAATCGTATAAGTCAACCGCGTTGACTTATACGATTTCTAATTGTTACAAAATGTGTCTCCGAATTATCTGTCTGTTAATATACAAATAAAGAAACAGAGATTGTTATATATATATTTAATAGATATATCTTTCTCACATATATATCATTCAATTAATAAATGTTATACGATTACATATATAACAGCGAGTTATGATGATTTGCAAAATCCTTAATAATATCGCAAGACTCCTAACATTCCTTCTAATATAACATTCTTTTCTACTCGTTTCCTTCAAAGTTTTACTCGAGATGTTAATGAGAATATGCAGAATATATATATATATATATATATATAAAACGACGTAACAATTATAAGATGGAATTTTTTGAAACACATCCGCGGCGCGTAAACGAGTAAATCTCACGGTCACCGCCGTAATCGCGACCGTGGCCGCCGCAGCGTCCGAGCGGCAATTGGACGAATCACAGGTGACAAACAAACAAAAAATATGGCAGATATCAGAGATTTCAATAAAGATGATCGTTTATACGCGGTGTTTTGAATTGATTTGACTCTAACCGAGAAGTGAGATGTCTTCGAGTAGCAGAAAATCACCACGAGTGGAAGACGTAAGTTTCACTTGCTATTGCACTCGCGAGCTACAATCTTAACCTAAATCTATCACTATGGATTGTTGATTTTCTGATTATATCAAATATATTGAAGTTTCCTCTGCTGAGGAGAGTAAATAAAAATTTCTATATTGTTGAATTTCTCTTCCTTAGTTAATTTCTACGGAAGATGACACCTTGGGATCCTCTATAAGTCTCAGTGTTGGGGAGAACTCAATACATATTAAGGAGAAAATCAAACCTATTAAAGAAATTGAGCAGTTATCAGCTGATAAAAAAGATGCGCAGGAGAAATGGTGGTTGAAAAGACCTGAAACACGTTTAGAAGTTTTAAGTGCCAAGAATACAGAAATTAAGATGAAGCAGTCGCCTACTCCTTCGTCAGATGTCAGCTCTTCTATGAAAGAATTTCTTGAGAAGGAAAAAATGTGCAAAGTAATTAATTAAATTACATGACATTGCTATTGCAGTGATGTGTAAAGCATATTTATTAACAAAAATTTATTAATGAGTTTCAAAACGAAGCTTTCAAATATTTTTATATTGTTACATTTTATATATTGCTCCAATTTACTTTTCAGGCTATGCCCAGGAGTGAGGGTGAAGTTAAAGATAAAGATGACACTCTGTGCGATATACTTGCATCTGCAGCTTTTGATAAATACCCATCAGATTTTGAAAGTGAGTATACAAATTTTTGTGGGATTTATATGATATGCGAGATAATATTGCATGTCTGATATGCTTATATTTCATGCAGATGCTACTGATGAAGATATCGGCAGCATATTAGAAGAAATGAGCAAGATTGCTGGTGCATTGAGTCCTAATTCAGGTCCTGAACGTACCAAATCGGGTGGCTCGAGCAAAGTTCCCACTGAAGAAGAGAAGTCTGTAGAGGAATTGTTGGAGGAAGCTGAGAAGTTAGTGAGGAAAAATAGCACCACTTTGTCAAAAAGCGCGTCCAAATCTGACACTCTAGTACCGGAAAATGGCCAAGACGAGAGCTTGAGTCGAGTGAGACAGTTAGAAGCTGACATTTTCCAGTTGATAGAGGAGGAAGTGCACAAAGAATCGGAAAAGATAAGGAAGAGCCCGAAAAACGAGAAGAAACGAGAGAACAGCCCGGGGTTTGAAATTGTTTATGAAAATTTGAGCAGTCTGAGACCACCGAAGACATTGGAACTTCAAAGGAGAAAATTCGAGGAACAGAAAGTTGAAATATCGAGTAGTTCTGATTTGGATGATCCGATCGAGAAGCACTCCAAATCCGAGGAACTAAAGAGTACAAAGAAGATAGAAATAGAGAAGGAAAATTTGCAGAAAGAGATTACGGACGTGGACAAGGATTTCTTCGAGGGTTTGCTGAAGAAATCCAAGGAGAAGGCGGAAGGTGGAATGTCCGGTAGTTCCAGTTTCGGGCAAGAAGACTTCTCGCATTTTTTGAAACTGCTGCAAGGACAAACGGATAAAAAGGAGCCAGAATCAAAAGAGCCTAATATGATATATGATCTTCTACTGAAATCCACTAACGGCGAAGTGGTCAAAACTGCCGGAGGCCAATTAGTGAATGGAAAAACCCCCGAGTTTCCGGAAAAGGAATTTTCTGAGATATTGGAAAAGGAATTACCGGCGACTAATAACACACATATAGAACACGAAATCAATGAGAGTGATTGCAGTGTGAGCGAAGAACCACTTAAGCGAGCACCGAATTCTCCATCAGTTGGAGTAACGTTCTCGAAAAGTGCTAATAACGAGTCCTCGAAAAAGTCCGCAACAAAAGGCGCGGAGAATAATAAGAACGCGCCAGAGAGCAATAAAAAAATTAATTCCGATATGGAATTGTACACGGTAGGTTTGACACCGAGATTAGAATTGTTCGCCGACGCGATACCCAAACTCATGGCGGAGAAATTAAACGAGAATGTTACGAAGGAGAACGCAGATAAAGCTGACTCAACACATAAGGAAACTCCATCTCCAGAAGAGAAGATCGAAGAGAAGGTGGAAAATACATTCCAGCCACCGAAGCCTTCCAAGGCAAGCTACCAAGAAACGTCGAGTCACAGTGCCTCGAGAAGAACTATAGACGTATCTAAAACTGAACGCATTGGCAGTGCACCGAATAATAGGCAAACGAAGAAGGAGATAAGATTCTGCAAGTCTAAGAGCTACGATCAGATCTGTCAACCTCCTCTGAGAACTTCTCTGGAGAATATCAGAGTCAATAAGGCGTCGGACGTGTCCAGGAAGCCTGCGAACTCGGCTCCTAGAAAATCACCAATGATAAAGCCAAAAATATCGATCCGGCCAACTCCAAAAACAAGTGTCGACCAAGCCCAGAAAACGAAACCTAAACCTAACGTGTTCTCGAAGCCAAAAATAGACTCGATCAAACTTGGTTCCACGTCCAGCTTGCCGGCCACGTGCAAAACGTCCCAGGTAAAATCGCCCGATAGCTACAGGAGGAATTTAATGGCTGCTGGTGACACGAATTTAGTGACATTCGACTGGAAGATGCTGTGTCGCGAGGAGAAGCATAAAAATGTGCTCTTGAAGCAACAGTTGGAGGCCGAGGCGAAGCTCTATAAAAGTCAAATCATGGAGATGCGCACGTCTTTTGAGGGAGAACTCTTCGCCCTGAAGAAGCAGAATATAATTTTGAAAGCGAGAGTTGACGAATTATCCTTGAACGAGAGGCGCCCGGAAATTCACGTGAAAAATGACATGAAAATAACGCTACTGGAACAGGAACTGGAGAAGCAGGAAAGTTTGATCCGCGCTTACGAGACCGAAAACAAGAAGATGATGCAGGACACGAAACGTCTGCAAGAAGAATTGAAGAGTTTGCAGTCCAAGCAGAAGAGCACAGTCTCGGAGGCGAACGACACGCAGCAGCTAGCCGATCGGGTGAAGGACCTTCAGGAAGAAGCCTTGAAGCTGAATCTCGAGGTATCCGAGTTGAGGCAGAAGAACGCCGATTGCCTGCTGAAGAACGACGACCTGACACAACAGAACAGTCTGCTCACGGACGAACTGGAGATGTTCAAAGAGCAGCTGAGAGCGAAGAACAACTTCATCACGGATCGGCTTCATGCGATGACCTCCGCTGAGTTGGACCTGAAGAGACAGATAGAGGATCTGAGTATCAAATTGAGCTCCAAGTCGGAGCAGTTGCGCGTGACGAAGCAGGAGCTGGACAAGATGCAGCAGAACGTGTTGCCGTTGGAGAAGGAACTGCTGGAGTTTAGAGTGAAGGAGGGCAATCTCCAGGAAAAACTGCAGATAAGCAAGAGTCATATCGAGCGCGAGAAGCAGCTCAGCCAGAAACTCAAGGATCAGGTGATCCTGGACAACAAGAAAGTGATGGATCTGAACAGGCAGGTGCGCGAGATGGAGCGTATACTCAAGAGGAAGAATCCCGACTCGGTGTCAGCACTTATATTGACTGCCAATTCGGGCCAGGAGAAGATCGGCACGGAGAAAGTGAAGCTGTTGGAGGAGAGGATAGTGAGTCTCGAGAGCGAAATTAAGACCAAAGATAACCTCGCGCAGCAGAATCTGATCGATCTGCAGCGAAAATTCTCTGATATGAGGGATAAGTACGCAACGCAGGTGATGGAACTGGAAGCGAAGCTATCGGAGGCTACAGCGAGGGAGCACAAGTTGTACAACGACATGTTCACGCAGACCACTATGAGATACGTCGAAAACAAAAGCGTGGAAACTAACCGAAAAGACGACAGAACTTTGGCCATGGACAAGGAGGATAAAAAGGATCAAAAAGCCGGGTCGAAGGCTGGACCGAAGTCTCAGAATTCGAAAGAAGATGCGCATCTCATCGCCACGATCAGAGGCCTGCAGCTAGAGATCACGAACAAGGACAGAGCAGTGTTGAAGTTAACCAAGGAGAGTCAAGAGCTCCAGAAAACGAACAGGAGACTGCAGAAGGAACGGGAGAAACTGCTGAATGATCGTAAGAGCTTCAGGAGCATGGACTTTGACAAAGTATTCCAGAAAACGAAAAATGGCGACGGGAATGATCAGAACTCGAACGTCTACCAGAACGGGCACGTCACCGACTCGCAGAGGCTGTCGTCATCGACCACCAAGCTGTACGATCCGATGCAGTACACGGAGACCAGCAAGAACGGTGTTATTAAGAAACTGACCAACGAGAATGACATCTTGAAGGAAGAGCTGAACAAGATTAACAAAGATTTTATGGCACTCAAGAGCAAGAGGCTGCACGATCTGAATATTCTGCAGGAGGAGCACGAGCGAGAGATGGCCACTCTCGTGAAAGAATATAGCATCAAATTCGGGGACTCTAAGGTGGTAAAGTTACAGGTTTGTGTAGCGCTGAGAACTTGGCTTGTCCCTCTTTTTTTTTTTTTGTTAGCTTCTTATCATCTGAAAGCAAGGTTGAAGTGTTTTCTCGTTTTAGCTTTATCGCAACGCACCAACGTCGCAGCGCACCAACTGAGAATTCCTAAAATATCATAATTTCTAATTATTAACAGGGTCAGATTAATTCCCAGGGAGCAGTCATATCACATCTGAAGGAGCAGGTGGAGAAATTTAGAGACTACAAAGAACAAGTAGTTGTACTTAAGGCTGAGAGAGAGCACTTGGAGAACAAAGTGAAGACATTGACCGAGAAAGTCAAGTACTTATCGACGCCGGTACGTGAGAAACGGCCAGGGCTTTTATTAAAATGGCACTCGGCACGGTGCGTTTCTGTTCCAGGGGACTGAGCAGTTGCAGTTACTGCAGGACAAAATCACGATCCTTCAGCAACGGCACGAGAGCAGGGAGATGACTCTGCAAACGCTAGTGCGCGATTTACTGAGAAATCGAACGCAGTGCGGGGACTGCAGAAACGAGAAAGGCAAGAACCGACAGCTCTGTTACTTCCGGCAGGAGCTGGATCACATCCTGGGGATGCTTCAGGAGATCGCTAACGTCCACTGATGTCATTGAATCGAGAATTGCTCTACGTAGTGAGGATCGATCTCGATGGAATTTCGGACATTGCGGGCATCACGACGACGCGCTCCTTGCGTTGAATTGCCGTACAAATGGGACAGTAGCGCACGTGGATGCCTCAAGTGAAGTTGCGTCGTTTTCGATTGTCACTTTGAAACGCCGTCGTTCCTGGTAATAAAGCGATCGCGCAACGCGATTTATGTAGTTCTCGTTTCGTCATCGAATATTGTGATAACTTTTACAGCAGTACGTAAGATTCGCAATTTAATATTAGGTAACTCGATAGAGAAAGAGAGAGAAGGAGGGAGGGATTAAGTACCTTAGGTATCGAGCTGTAGTTTCGTAAACACGTTTGTTCCGACAAAACGGTCGAAACTTCCGTCGGCTGCTCCAGGAAAGTGAGGATCGTTATTATTACGACGCGCATTCTTCTCGTAGTCTTTCTTGCGTCCGTGACATCGTTCGTGCTGCGAGTTCGTGTCTATCAGCGTTAAGTCTGCGAATCGACTTACCGGTAGACTCGGATCACTGCCAAAGAGGACGCTACCGCGAATTAACGGTAGCGCGCATATACATATATACCATAACGAATGCAGATAATTGAATTGCAAATTTTTCCGGTCTCTCTCTTCGTCGCTAATTTTCTTGCCAAGCGCGCAATGTCTTGCAACACTGCCCGCTAATTTAGCATAATCGTTATCGTCCCACGCAAGTGAAGGAATTACTTTTTAACGAGTTTTAACGAGTTTTACAAGTTTTACCTCTCTACGATGGATAAGTATTTTTTTATCTATTTATTTATTTATTGACTACTAAAAAGGAACGTGTACATGTTTTCTTCTTTAATCTTTACCCATCGATGTTTCGTTCTGGCGATGAATTGTAGGGCATGCCAATAAGAAGAAAGAGAAAATAGACGTAAATAGAAAGTTCTCTTCGCAAAAGAGTTTCTTCCAAAGGTAAACGATATCTAGTTTTTTACGGATGATTTTTCCAAACTTCGCTGTACATAGGCATTAAGATGATAATTCGCTGTATTTATTTCGGATAATACTCAGCGTTTGTTCGCGATCAACGAAGTCAAGGAGGCGCGCTCGGTTATATCGGGCGTAATCTCTCGTAAGCTCCCTAGTTTACTACTACTGTTGTCAAGCCTAGCGGTTGGTTTAACGATCTCATCTCGAATGTAGCCATGTCTGTAAGCGCTCATGATAAACGCAAGCACGTCGCACAAATCGACGTGGCCGAGATTCAGGGACGAACAATCGACAGAACGGAAGACGCGTGTGCATCTTGAGCGCGTTGAGAAGAAGAGTTGTCGGCGTTTCCACACGGGGCAATTACTCGTCTTCCCGAGACTCGGCCACGTCGAGACACACACAATCACATCCTTTTTCTATATAGATATAAGCTGAACACATAATGTACAAAATTATAACTTTAATAAAGTTAATCTTTTCGTCGATGAAGCGAAATTTTTCTCACCCATCACGGATCGAAGAAATCAAAATTACTTAGATCAATATACCTAATTAATATCTTAGAATATTTGATATAGTCACTTGCATTTTTTCAATGAAGTTTACAGCGTTCCTAGTTACTACGAATGCAATAGATTTGCAAACAAATGAGAATACTACCGGTCGAAGCGATTGGTGAAAATATTGCTGTGATTTAAATCGTGAAAGCGAGTATTTTATTCAAGCTTAGACTGGATTTTGGATTTATACGAGCGCAGATTATAAGGTGAAAACATTCTTATTCTATGATTCAGGGTAAAAAGTTTACTTTATTTGAGTAAACAATTACAATAACCGTGAGTAAAATATAATAATGAATGAAATTTCAATGTGAAGCATTATTCATGTTTGGATTTCTTATTCGTGTAAAAAAAAGTGAATTTTTAATTCCAAATCACCGAATAAGTAGTTTTCACTTTAATCGCTCGATATCGGTGAGCCTTGAATTATATCGTCCGGACATGCGCAGGTGATCCTTCGCAATGAATTTCGTGTGGATGCATAAAAGAAAGGTCATTGAAAGCAGAGAGGGGAGTTCCTGTTAGAAGAGAGAATTACGGTGAATTCTTTAACTACGACTCCAACTACATAGATTTATTCGCACAAAATATATCATCTCAGATACACGATATAATTCTCTACAAGATGCACCAGCTGTACATTAATATACATTCTAAGAACTCTTGGATACATTATATATATTTTGCGATCTAACACTACAATTCGCGAAATGATAAAGCCGATAGAGAAGCAGATCTACGGAAGTAGCGGTTGTCGTTGCCGTTTCGATAGCCAGCTGTCGCCTCATTTCTTCACCACACTATAAAACGTTGCACCTGTTGCGCCACATTGTTCCTGCGAAGATGCAATGCGCTTTTAATAGATATCGATGCAAGAGATCGGTAAAATTGTTGGACACGTTTCTTAAATTATATTTCTGTCTAAGGATAAATCTGCAATTATTTTCATGTCTTACCTAAGGAAGGATTTTTTGCCACTATAGACAGAAAGCCCGTAAATGGTGCAAAGTGCGACGACGACAGCTTGCCTGATATAGTCAGAGGTCATGGGATACTCCAAGAACTCGTTCTTCACCAAGTTGGGAACAATCCTTGCTTTGAACTCCAAGTTTCTATCGACCCGTGTATTCTGCAAATTTCGTTCCCAGTTGGCGGACAGCCGCTCGTAATCTGCGACCTTGGAGAGCACCCTTTCAGCGGATAAACTGCGTTGCTCACGATTTTCATTAGGAACACGAGAAATCCTGACGACTCGGCGAAGAGAAGCTAGTCTCGATGACGGCTTCTTGACATTCAGACTTGATCTCTGACGGGATTGTCTAATAGTATCTCCTTTAAGAATATTTGTTAATCCTAAGTTCTCATCAATTCTTCGCTCAGCAGATCTTTGCGAATCGAGAACAGATCGTTTTTCCAGAGTCCTCCCGCGAGAAGTTCGCAATTCTAGGCTCCGTTCCAGGCGACGATCTGCCATCCTGGAATCTTCGCGTGATCTCGAGCCCTCAACAATTCTTCGCTCAGCAGATCTTCGTGAATCTAAGGCAGATTGTTTCTCCAGAATCCTCCCGCGAGAAGCTCGCAATTCCAAGCTTCGTTCCAGGCGACGATCTACCATCCTGGAATCTTCGCGTGATCTCGAGCCTTCAATTCTTCGCTCAGCAGATCTTCGCGAATTGAGAACAGATCGTTTCTCCAGAGTCCTCCCGCGAGAAGTTCGCAGTTCTAGGCTTCGTTCCAGGCGACGATCTGCCAACCTGGAATCTTCGCGTGATCTCGAGCCTTCAATTCTTCGCACAGCAGATCTTCGTGAATCTAAGGCAGATTGTTTCTCCAGAATCCTCCCGCGAGAAGCTCGCAATTCCAGGCTTCGTTCCAGGCGACGATCTGCCATCCTGGAATCTTCGCGTGATCTCGAGCCCTCAACAATTCTTCGCTCAGCAGATCTTCGTGAATCTAAAGCAGATTGTTTCTCCAGAATCCTCCCGCGAGAAGCTCGCAATTCCAAGCTTCGTTCCAGGCGACGATCTGCCATCCTGGAATCTTCGCGTGATCTCGAGCCTTCAATTCTTCGCTCAGCAGATCTTCGCGAATTGAGAACAGATCGTTTCTCCAGAGTCCTCCCGCGAGAAGCTCGCAATTCTAGGCTTCGTTCCAGGCGACGATCTGCCATCCTGGAATCTTCGCGTGATCTCGAGTCCTCAACAATTCTTCGCTCAACAGATCTTCGTGAATCTAAAGCAGATTGTTTCTCCAGAATCCTCCCGCGAGAAGCTCGCAATTCCAAGCTTCGTTCCAGGCGACGATCTGCCATCCTGGAATCTTCGCGTGATCTCGAGCCTTCAACAATTCTTCGCTCAGCAGATCTTCGCGAATCGACACCAGATCGTTTCTCCAGAGTCCTCCCGCGAGAAGCTCGCAATCCTAGGCTTCGTTCCAGGCGACGATCTGCCGTCCTGGAATCTTCGCGTGATCTCGAATCCTCAACAACTCTTCGCTCAGCAGATCTTCGCGAATCGAGAACAGATCGTTTTTCCAGAGTTCTCCCGCGAGAAGCTCGCAATTCCAAGCTTCGTTCCAGGCGACGATCTGCCATCCTGGAATCTTCGCGTGATCTCGAGTCCTCAACAATTCTTCGCTCAGCAGATCTTCGTGAATCGAGTCGTATTGAATTCGGAGTAATTCGTCGTATCACAACTCCTCCATGGGATCTCTTCAGTACTTTTTCGCGAGACGCTCGCTTTTCCAATCCCCTCTCAGGTAGCCGTCGTTCGAAGACTCTTTCCAAGGATCGAGATCCCTGAAGAACAACCCTGCGTTGCTCGCGAGCCTCATGTGAGAGGCTCATTCTTTCCCGACGTTGTGCAACCAGATCTCGTCGTTCTGTGGAATCGCGTGATTCGCGTTCACGGCTTCTCAAATCTCTGATCCTTGAAAGTTCTCGTCGATCCGCCGAATGACGATCAAGCGAACCAGAAGATCGAGCGAATCTTTCCCTTCGCTCTCGACTCGCGATCTCCTGAAGATCATAACGCGATCGTTCCTGCCGCGTGAAAGCGGCTCTAGAATTTTCCCTGCTCATCGTATTTCCGCGGGAGTCACGTGCATTTGCGATCCTCTGCGAGCGACTGAGCCTTTCGCGACGTAAATCCTCGGGCGAAGTCCGCGACGATGCTCGATCGAGAGATCTGCGATCGCGGAGATGAGTTTCCATCTTTCGACGCTCCACGAGATCTATCTCACGACGTTCCACCGATCGAGCCAAGGATCTGCGCTCAGAGGACGATCTACGCTCCCCGGCTCTCTCGTCTTTGGCTTCCATCGATCGCACTCGCCTGTTGAGCGTCTCTCGATCAAGATCGTTGGCACGTTCCATCGATCGAGATCGACGATCGTCAGATCTGGCGAGGTCTTTACGAGAATCCCTGCTGACAGCCGAAAATCGCGATTTACGTTCCTGGTTGGCGACGCGATCAAGACGAGCGCGACGGATCTCCAGAGATCGTTCCCGGCTTCGACGGTCGAGGTTATTATTGCGGTCGGTGTGCTGTCGTGCGATTCTCGCCGAGTGATCCAAAAGATTTTTGCGGTCCTCACGACGTTCGCTCGCGCGTCGTTCGGTTACATCGCGTTGCTCGACAGATCGGGATCTACGCTCGCGCATTCCGGCTCGTTGATCTACGCGACGTGCGGAATCACGAAACTCGCGGCGGCTAATTAGAATCTCTCGGGACTCGCGGCGATTGATCTCGTCCGGAAGCCGTCGCTCGATCGCCGAGAGCGATCGGCGATCGCGACGATCGTCGTCTCGCCGGTCCGTCGATCGGTCCACGCGACTTTGCCGGCGCACCATTTCATTAGCCTCGCGTCCCTCTGCGGACCTCGATCGGCGCTCCTTGAATCGGTAATTCGCTCTGCGATCGGCCAGATCGCAGCTTGAATCTCGGAGCCTGTTGACTGATTCGTTGTCGGGAGTGCGACTTCTCGATCCTGAAAGTCTCTCGACCATTCTCAGATCCCGGTTTCGAGAAGATCGTTCTCGAGCTTCTCGCGAGGCGAATCTGGCGGAGCGATCGAGGCTCAGCGATCGAGCGAGTGCGGATTTCCGGGTTGTCGGTGATATTCTAGACCCGGATACTCTGGTTTCATGGTCGTTAAACGGCTTCACATTTTCTTCCGACTTTGTGAGCAGGTGTGAAGGCATTTCGGTGAAGAGATTCATATTCGGGCAGGCGTCCATTCTGAAAGCAGTTGACCTTCTCGTGATTCTTTGCGCATTTCGATTCCGAGGAAGAGCGTATCTCGTAATAACAGGTGCAATTTGTAAGGAGCATTATAAGGAACACGATAAATAAATGAATAAAGAGCATAATTAAGTAATTTTAGGCTTTTAGGAGGTACGATATGACGTTTAAGAAATTGTGGAATATGCGTACAACGATTATTTGATTATTTATAATTAAGCGTAGAGAGGGAGAGAGAGAGAGAGAGAGAGAGAGAGAGAGAGAGAGCAATAATTTTCATACTCATGGGGAGCTCGATGCTCGAGTTCAGGTCCTGCGAGACTACCGGCATGTCCTTCCCTGTCCCTAGATACCAGTCCCAACGTCAGACATGCCAACGAGACTATCAGGAGCCCGATGTACTGCCAGGACCGCACAGGCAATACCATGTGGCGTGTACGTCTCATCCTGTCTTAAAATATTACTTTGATTAGCGTTAGGTACAAATAATAAGAAACAAATCTCAAGTACGAGAAAGGAATATTCTTCGTGCAGTTTCTAAGTTTTGGAAGAAAAAATGTCAACGCGAGACGCGAGGTGACGCGAGGTGACGCGTTATGGTTTTACTTTCGAAGAGCTTCTAACTAACGTGCTGAGGTGAGAAGTAATACCTCAGAGACTCGAGACCGCCGTGACCAAGTAGTTGCGAAGGATTCGGAGGACTTTGCGAGTTCCCACGAGAAGATGCTCTTCCTCGGTGCTCTGGAGAACTGCTGATGCCGGACAACCCGGGGGAGCGGCTTTTATACCCGCGGGAGCCGCGTGGTAATTTGATGGAAACGCAATTCACCTCTTATCAGCGGCGACCACATGGTGCCCCATACGCCAGCGCGACTGGGTCGCCGCGAACAAAGCGCGGGCGGGCAGCGTTGTAAGCAGAAAGATTGGAAAACCGCGACGCGCTCGGGTTAACCAGCAGGAAAATTGCGAATCGGACTATCTACGGGCGGCGGTCGCACATCCGCCACGTGCGTCACGTGGGTGATGCCTCTTAAAATCGCGTTAGAGTTCAATCCCGGAGGATCTGGACCGTGGCTCAATGAAACGACCGAGTGCAATTCGTTTCAAGGTAAACTCGATTAACAGACGATATCGATTGTCTTGTAATCTCGCGCGCTTTAACTACAAATTGAAATAAAAACTGTCACGAATATATGTATGTATGTTGAAATTTAATCGAAAATACAACTGCGTCGTTGGAACTTATAACGTTCCTCCACTGTGCAGCTAATTCTTCAATTCCATTTTTTAAGCTTCCGAGATTTCGAAACGCTGGTAGTCGTTAGAAAAGATCGTGAGAAGTAATCCCACGCAAGAAAATAATAATTAATTACAAATTTATAATTTATAATTATAAATGAATTATATATTATAAATTATTAAATCAACACGGAATCTCTTGTCAATATTCGATGTGTCATAAATGTTAATTTAATAGCTACAATATAGAATCTCATAGACGATAAATTGAAATAACGTCAACACTGATTACACTGTTTATAGACATTTATTTTTTATACAAAAACTTGCAGTACAAAATGCTGATGGAAGGATGTACTGTTTCTTATAAATATATACGCATCATTAAAATAAAATCAATGTATGTACATTATATCATTTATTATATATAAATATAAATATATATAAATATATTTATATTTATATTTATATATCTATATATTTATTAGGTATCGAATTTAATTTCCAAGTTTTCTTGCTTAAAAAACGCATTTATTTCAATGACAAAATGAACGAATACATTAATCAGAATATTTTCCATAATTTTTTATGGTTTTTTCCCATATTTCTGGCGAAAGTTGAATTCCGCGTTAATGGAACTTCTTGTCTTTTGAAGTGATCCAGTCATTGATCCGTTTTTTATGAAAGTCGGAAATGCAATTCGGTACCTAATATATCTATCTATATTTATATGTATGCATAGAGAGTGTGTGACGGGTCGATAAAGATTTTTTACGAAATTTAGGAAATTACGATTTACTATTAGGTGTACAACTTTGCTTCCGCCGTTTTCCTATAGATGGCTTTAGCGGTAAGTAGTGGTCGAAATAAATAGATCATAGACGTCATGCGATAAACTTGGGCATCTGTCAACATAACTCCATAGAAACATTAGTCGATTTGTGTCTGCATCATAAAGTTATTCTCGATTGAAAATGTCAGTTTACGAGCCAAATTCTCATCATTTGCGGGAGGTTTAAATTTTCTGCTTCAATATGAAGAAATTTGCGGCTGAGGCTCATCGAATGCTCTCAAATACTTATGGTGAGGCTGCTATTAGTGAAAGAACGTGTCGTGAGTGGTTTCAACGCTTCAAGAACGATGATTTTCACGTTGAAGACCGGCATAGTGGTGGAAGAGAGAAGGTTTTCGAAAATGCAGAATTGGAGGCATTACTTAAAGAAGACTCGTGTCAAAGTCAAGAAGAATTGGCACGATCATTGGGGGTGACTCAACAAGCAATTTCAAAACGCCTCAAAGACATGGGAATGATTCAAAAGCAAGGAAATTGGGTGCCGTACGAGTTGAAACCGAGAGATGTTGAACAGCGTTTGTTTGCTTGTGAACAGTTGCTTGAAAGGCAAAGACGGAAGGGATTTCTGCATCGCATTGTGACTGGGGATGAAAAATGGGTTCATTACGATAACCCCAAGCGCAGAAAATCATGGGCATATCCACGTCGACGGCCAAACCGAATATTCACGGCTCCAAGGTCATGCTCTGTATTTCGTGGGACCAGCTCGGCGTAGTGTATTATGAGCTGTTAAAACCGACTGAAACAATCATAGGCGATCGTTATCGAACGCAATTAATGCGTTTGAGCCGAGCATTGAAAGACAAACGGCCGCAATACAACGAGAGACACGATAAAGTGATTTTGCAACATGACAATGCTTGACCCCATGTTGCGAAAGTGGTCAAGACATACTTGGAAACGTTGAAATGGGAAGTCCTACCCCACCCGCCGTATTCTTCAGACGTTGCTCCCTCTGACTATCACATTTTTCGATCAATGGCACACGGCCTGGTTGACCAGCACTTCCGGTCTTATGAAGAAGTAAGAAATTGGATCGATTCGTGGATCGCTTCAAAAGATGACCAGTTTTTTCAACGCAGGATTCGTACACTGCCCGAAAGATGGGAGAAAGTAGTGGCCAGCGATGGACAATACTTTAAATCATAAATGTTTAACCAATTTTTTACAATAAAGCCTCGAATTTCGGAAAGAAACGGCGGAAGCAAAGTTGTCCACCTAATAATTTTACGAAAAGTTGTCGTTTCCTTGCGTGGGGAAGCTATCCTGCTAGTACCTTATATATAAGGTCTGGTAGTTAATTCTTTCCGATTTTCGACAATTTTCAATTTTCATTTAAAAATCGACAGAATAAGATTAATCAATGAAATATTCTCCATTGTGATCAGTAATCTTACGCCATTTATTGGGCAGTTACCGAATCCTATCACGATAGAAACTTGGTGGCTTTGAGGCTACAGTCATCGATGAAATTTCGTACGTTGTCAACTGTCAATACTTTAAAAGCGCAAAAGAACGGGAGAATATTTCAAATCTTAACATTTCTATTAGGCGTACAACTTTGCTTCCGCCGTTTTTTTTCTGAAATTCGAGGCTTTATTGTAAAAAATTGGTTAAACATTTATGATTTAAAGTATTGTCCATCGCTGGCCACTACTTTCTCCCATCTTTCGGGCAGTGTACGAATCTTGCGTTGAAAAAACTGGTCATCTTTTGAAGCGATCCACGAATCGATCCAATTTCTTACTTCTTCATAAGACCGGAAGTGCTGGTCAACCAAGCCGTGTACCACTGATCGAAACAAGTGATAGTCAGAGGGTGCAACGCCTGGAGAATACGGCGGGTCGGGTAGGACTTCCCATTTCAACGTTTCCAAGTATCAGGTGTAGTAAAAAGAAATCCATTATTTTTGCATGAAATTGAAGGCTTTAATTACCATAGTTAGAATGATCCGATTTAGGTCAAATATGCGCCGTTTTGTTCGATAACTTGTTGCCATTTTGAAGGTAATTTCATTATGCCTCTCTCATAGAAGCCCTCGTCCCTATTGGCAAAAAATTGAGACAGTCGATTTTCACAAGCCTCTCTTGAAGCGAATTTTTCACCAGCAAAATTGTTCGCCATGGACAGGAACAGATGGTAATCACTTGGTGCCAGGTCCGGACTATAAGGTGGATGCATAAGAACCTCCCAACCAAGCTCCCGGAGCTTCTGGCGAGCCACTATCGATGTGTGTGGCCAATAGGAGAGGAATTGTGTTCCATCAGGACACTGGCGTTGTCCTGATGGAACACAATTCCTCTCCTATTGACCAAAGCTGGCCGCTTCTGGGCGATTGCTTCCTTCAGACGGTCCAATTGTTGACAGTACAGTTCCGAGTTAAGAGTTTTGCCGTAGGGGAGCAGCTCATAGTAGATAATTCCCTGCCAATCCCACCAAACACACAGCAAAACCTTCCTGGCCGTCAATCCTGGCTTGGCCACCGTTTCCGCCGGCTCACCGCGATTCGACCACGACCGTTTTCGCTTGACGTTGTCGTAAGTGATCCACTTTTCATCACCAGTGACCAACCGCTTCAGAAATGGGTCGATTTTGTTGCGATTCAGCAGCGATTCGCAGATGGAAATTCGGTCCATGAGGTTTTTTTGCGTTAACTCGTGTGGCACCCATACATCGAGCTTCTTTTTGTATCCAGCCTTATTCAAATGGTTCCAAACGGTTTTTTGTGCAATCTTTAGCTCTTGGGCAATCGAAACAGTGCTTACATGACGGTCGGACTCGACAATGCCCATGATTTTATCGATATTTTCGACAATTGGCCTTCCAGTGCGTGGTGCATCTTTGACATCGAAATTACCGGAACGGAATCGACGAAACCAAAATTGCGCGTGATTGGCTGTTACAGTATGAGGACCATAAACACTATTCACATTTTCAGCCGCCTGGCTTGCGTTTTCGCCTTTATCGAAGAAAAACTGTAAAGTATAGCGTATTTTCTCTTTGCTAGTGTCCATCTTTGACGCGCGCTCAAACAAAACTGAGTCAACTAATCACAAAACTGTCAGAAAAGTTTTTTTAGTACGAAATCTCATCTTTTTAACGCCATCTAGTGAAACCCGATCGGACTTATACAACGCGAGATACAGATAACTAAAGCCATCTATTGGAAAAATAATGGATTTCTTTTTACTACACCTGATATGTTTTAACCACTTTCGCAACATGGGGTCGAGCATTGTCATGCTGCAAAATCACTTTATCGTGTCTCTCGTTATTTTGCGACCGTTTGTCTTTCAATGCTCGGCTCAAACGCATTAATTGTGTTCGATAACGATCGCCTGTGATTGTTTCAGTCGGTTTTAACAGCTCATAATACACTACGCCGAGCTGGTCTCACGAAATACAGAGCATGACCTTGGAGCCGTGAATATTCGGTTTGGCCGTCGACGTGGATATGCCCATGATTTTCTGCGCTTGGGGTTATCGTAATGAACCCATTTTTCATCCCCAGTCACAATGCGATGCAGAAATCCCTTCCGTCTTTGCCTTTCAAGCAACTGTTCACAAGCAAACAAACGCTGTTCAACATCTCTCGGTTTCAACTCGTACAGCACCCAATTTCCTTGCTTTTGAATCATTCCCATGTCTTTGAGGCGTTTTGAAATTGCTTGTTGAGTCACCCCCAATGATCGTGCTAATTCTTCTTGACTTTGATACGAGTCTTCATTAAGTAATGCCTCCAATTCTGCATTTTCGAAAACTTTCTCTCTTCCACCACTATGCCGGTCTTCAACATGAAAATCATCGTTCTTGAAGCGTTGAAACCACTCACGACACGTTCTTTCACTAATAGCGGCCTCACCATAAGTATTTGAGAGCATTCGATGAGCCTCAGCCGCAAATTTCTTCATATTGAAGCAGAAAATTTAAACCTCCCGCAAATGATGAGAATTTGGCTCGTAAACTGACATTTTCAATCGAGAATAACTTTATGATGCAGACACAAATCGACTAATGTTTCTGTGGAGTTATGTTGACAGATGCCCAAGTTTATCGCATGACGTCTATGATCTATTTATTTCGACCACTACTTACCGCTAAAGCCATCTATGGGTAAACGGCGGAAGCAAAGTTGTACACCTAATATCTCAAATTTTGTTCTGAGCTATGAGGGTAGTCCCAGAAGTACCTGATCTAACAAAGGAAACACAAAATATTTGGGGAAAAATATTTTTATTCCTCTATATAGTCTCCTTTTAGCTCAATACTCTTTCCCCAGCGATGTTCAATAGCTTCGATACCCTGTTTATAGTGGGAATCGTCGAGCTCCTCAAAATAGCCATCAAGACTCCACCTCTTCATTGTTGGCAAATCTTTTACCACCGAGCCATTTTTTCAAGTTTGGAAACAGAAAATAATCCGAGGGGGCTAAATCTGGCGAATAGGGTGCGTGAGGAAGTAATTCGAACTTTAACTCATTTGTTTTGGCTCATTGATTTTGGCCATCGCGATAACGGATGTGTGAACTGGTGCATTGCCTTGATGAAACAAAACTTTCTTTTTCGCCAAATGCGGCCGTTTTTTCTTGATTTCATCACTCAAACGCTGCAATAAGTTCGCACGACACTCGCCGTTGATTGTTCGCCTTTCTGAAGATAATCAATGAAAATTATCCTACGCGCATCCCAAAAAACTGACGCCATGACTTTGCCTGCAGATGGAACTGTCTTCTCCTTCTTTGGAGCCGATTCTCCTCTTTCAGTCCATTGTTTTGACTGTTCCTTCGTCTCAAGTGTGAAGTGACGGACCCATGTTTCATCCATGGTTATGAATCGACGCAAAAACTCGGTTTTATTGCTGCGAAACTTCACCAAACACTCGATTGAAACATCGTCACGACGCTATTTTTGTTCCAATTGCGGCACCCATCTTGCGCACAGCTTTCTCATGTCCAAATTTTCAGTCAATATGCGATGTACAGCACTTTTTGAAATGCCTACCATGTCTGCTAACTCGCGCACTTTCAGTCGACGGTCATCCAATACCATTTTGTGGATTTTCTTCACCATTTCTGACGTGGTCACCTCATTTGGTCGACCACTGCGATGATCGTCTTGGCAGCTCGTACAGCCTCCTTTAAACTCTGCCACCCAATATTTTACTGTTGTAAACGAAGGAGCAGACTCCCCCAGAGTAGAATCTAGCTCCGCTTTGATATTGATTGGAGGCCTTTCAAATGAAAGTATTGTATCACATAACGATGACCAATTTTTTCCATGTTTACAAATTCACTGAGAGCGTTCACTATTGATGGCTGCCAAACAAATACTAAACAACGTAGCGTCGTCAAACTTCAAACTTAGGGACAGAGCACAGACTTCTGCATAACGCATAGTACACAACGCATAAGAGAATCAACCAATCAAAGTTCTTCATTTCTATCTTGAGGAGAGAAATGAAGAAAACTAATTGGTTTATTCTCTTATGCGTTATGTATTATGTGTTATGCAAAAGCCTGTGCTCTTACCCTTAAGTTTTATAAGGTTGGTACTTTCTACCATAGTCATTCTTTTCAAACAACAACCGCCATCTATACGTCAGGTCGGGTACTTCTGGGACTCGTATGTGAATTTCATCGGAAAGAATTAACTACTAGACCTAATACTTGAAGAAACCTCCAAATCCGCTTCATACGGTTGGCATTAATTCGAGAAAATTACCCGTGCATCGTTAATAAATTAATCGGGGGGTAGTTTCGTAAAATACGGAAATATACAAGGGACACTTGTGACGTAGAGAACCCTTTCGTCGTATTCATGTGATCGACAGCGCGAAGTGCATTAATCGTGCAACGTTCATTCACCGACTGTCTCTGACTATTCGATCGGGTCTTCCTAGAACATGAAGACCGATAATACACTGATAATAGTGACCAGGTGTATCACGAAGGTATGAGGAGCTCCAGCGGTGCCGGAGATTTCGCAGGTGGTGTCGTTCACTTCCGGTAGCTCTATGAATTTCGGGAAGGTCTGGATGTCTGCCGGCTGTGAGAGAATTAAAGAAGAAAATTCGTACAAATTAATGATGAAAAATAAAAGCAAGATCAACAATAGTAATCCAAGTAATTCAAGTAAAAATCATATACGAGAAATATTCGGTACCTAATTCTGATGTTTGATCGTCGAATATTTTTCTTCTTAAAATCCTAAGAGATTTTAATTGAGAGAGATCTTACCAGCGCTAATTTGTCGTCCCTTTTCCGGCAGAACGTCATGTGTTTGCCTTGATAAAGATTTTTCTCTATTGATCTTGCCAACAACTCGTCCGTCCATGCCAGAGCTAGAATATGTTCGGCCATAGTCCGATCTGCAGATTAAAGAAATCATTAGTTAGAACATTCAGGATACAAACGTTGACGTTTGTAAAAAATATTTTGTGTTTGCTCATAAATATGGTTTTATAATTTACTGTCGTGATTATATATATATATATATATATATATACATAATATAATATAATTATAACTATATATATATATAATATAATTATGTTATAGTTACTTTGAAACTCCACGGGATCTTCGATGACAAGTCGTGTGAAGACATTATCGTTCTCGGTTTCCTCTGTGTATTCCTTCATCGCTTTTAACGCAGTAAGGGTTTCTTTGATGATGGTTTCGTTGTTGTTGCCAACTCCCGTGACATCCGTGGAGGTTTGTTTGCTGGTCGACACGATGTCCGTTCTGAAATTGTTAATGAACAACATGTTGAGCTAGCCAGTTTGAGTCGGATAAAATTAATTTCTTTGTCAGCAAAAAAATACTGTATTCTGTATATATATATATGTAAATATTCTCTAAGTTTGTGAAATCTTATCTATTAATCCAATCTTCAATGATATGGAAAAAAATAAGAACTCATATGTTTTGCAATGACTGCATCGATGAACTTTCGAAAGAGAGAGCAAGTCTCATATAATTCTTTTTTGTTGTCTCTCTGTTCTGCAAAATCAACGAATGCAGATCCAACGAGTATAGACTCAAAATCTATATTCAAGTTAACGGTCGTGATGGTATCGCGTGAGATAACTCACCCGGTCGTCAGGAACACCTTCTCCAGTTGGTCCATTGTCATTCCCTTGAACTTCATCACGCCAAGAGTCCGGAAAAGATCCTTGACAGGCGTCATGCTGTAACAGGCGGCCAAAGGTGTCTTGGGATAATGCACAACGAACGCCAAGCACATCTCCTGAGAAGCCGCGTAGCCGCCTAAGGTCGGCATTTCCCTGTCCAAAGTACCGTAGACGCATTCCGCGACGAGCTCATCGCCGGGCAGCACTTTTACCTCCTTCTCCAGAATGTGAGACTGCTGGTAGTCGAAGTCGAAGTGATTATCCTGGACTATCCTCGGCAGTTCTTTCCCTTTGCGAATGTGCTTCAAGGTGAGACGGCGTCCAGCCAAATGCGAGTGTAGAACGACCGACACGATGTTGATGCCGTCTTTAGGGAACATCTAGAGAGAGGGAGAGAAAATAATTGATTTGTATAATTTTAGAAATTCTCCATGTATGTATATGCGGGTGTGTGTTGTATAAAAAAATATGTTGAGGCATTTCAGCTCGTGTTGCAGAATGAGAACTAGACGAAAACCCGGTAAAAATATCTCGAGGAAAAAATCTTTGCTTACTGACCGAAGATATTCGTCTGAACGTTTAGTCGCATTGAAATTCGATTCGGATAACTGGAGAACGATCGACTGAATAGAAATCTCCTACGAAAAGTGTCTTATTCTGGTCCCCAGGCAACAGAAAATCAGTTGCACGAGTCGACTTTTTCTCGAGACCTCGAAAATGAAGGAAAAATACGTGAAAAATCAAAGCGTGTCGTTGAGAGATGATAATGATGTTTCTCTTAGTATTTGAGAATGACTTAATTTCAACAGTGTGATGCATGAGTCTTCGATTACCGTGTTGGTGCAATGCGGAGTGCAATATCCGGCGGTGGCGTATGCCTTTTGCCTCGGGGGCACCAGATGAAGAGGGCTCACCGCCACGCCGGCCACGAGGATGCCCGCTTCCTGAGGACGGAACTCCGAAGTTAAGTGAAGCCTTACGCCGCTGCTGTCGTTCACGTTCCTCATGTGTGGATTATTATAGTGAACTTCCAGCATGTAAAACGTCTTAGTGCCGTTCAGCGCTACGGGTATACCGACGTGTTCCGGCAGCCATTCTCCTGCGACGAGCAAAACACAGGTAATGCCGCTTAAAGCCGCTCTCGTCGAGCCGTAAAGAAGCCGCTGTGCAAATTAGATTTCGTTCTTTCCATAAATCACGCGACTCGCCGCGGTGAAACGGAATCGTCTCTCTCCGCGAGTCCCTCGGCGACACGGGGTGTCTTATGGCTGCGCCCGGACATTGCCTCTCTGCGCCTTCGGACTTTCGCGTCGCGTTTCCGGGAGATTTCGCGCAAATCGCGTCACGGCTGTCCCGAGACTTTGTTTCCGGTTCGCGGTTCATTTACCTTTACTGCCGCGAGCCCAAGCGAGCACAGGTTGCATACACGCTTCCCATTCCGCGGGCATCGGATTCTTCGAGCTGTAGCAAGCACCGCCGGCCAGCTTGGTTTGGAGGCTAAGGCGTTCCGCTGTAGACGGTGACACTGCGCACTCATACAGGATCATGTGATGGACCAGGTCCTCGTTGGCCTTCTCCACGAGCGGTGTGTACTGAAAGCCCATAAATAATGCATGCAACGTCGTGGAGATCGCGAAGTCGATTCACTCCTGCCTCCTGATTATCTCGATTTTCGAAAGTAAAGTCGGAAAAAAAGACTTTCGACTTTCGAAGAAAAAAGATTGCTTGAATGAACGCGACGATGACTCGACCGGGCGTCTTTTGTTTCGAAGGAACAACGAAATTTCTATAATATAGTTCGATCGATCTTCTTTCTGCGCGCGCTAAAGCTCTTCCTAACTTCCGTCGCGAGAATCACGTTCAAGGACTGCCGACACATGCGCGCAGCCTGATCAGGTCTGGGGGTTGGGATTTTTCACGGAGGGATCCTGGGAACGGGTCTTGATCCTTTCTCTCGCGCGATCCCATTGACAGTCCGCGAGCGTTTCGGAACACGCGGTGACATCATTCCGGGTCTCTTCTTTATTCTAATGACGCGCGTCTACGCAGCGCACGACGTCCGGCATGAATGACCGTGATTCGTGAAGCACATACGAATAAGGCCCAACCTTTGCATTCCATCAACCCAGCGGCCGGCTCGCTCGTTCGCGCAGCATCGGGTACTTCTCAAGAGGTTTACGTCCACTCGAGAAACCTGTTAGCGAGAATTTGCATCGTCGTTTACTTACCCCTATCATGTGATGCATCTGATCCAGGGGAGATTGGAAGATCTTGCACCAGTAGATGGTGTCCATGTTGGGCGAGACTGTGAACTGTCGAACGAGAACATTACTGGCCGGCGTGGTTCGTCGACGATCAGTCGAGAAAGTTCGGCGAGGAAAACACTTTTCAGACTCGGATGAGGCTCTAAGGTGTGAAGCGAATTTTTTCACTTTTTCATTTTTATTCTACTTCCTCCGGCGGTCACACATACGTGTCTGACCGACAGAGCAGATGCATCTTCATTGATTTGTTCATTCGCATGAGAACGACCGCGAGACGGATCTTCATTTATCATCGACTACTTCAGGACTAGCTTCGTAAGCAGCGTATCTTCGAGTGGGTATAATCCATCATCATCGTTAGGCCGACGAATGAAATCAGCGCGAGTGTTTCCTTCGAGTTTCTTCAAGCTGTCGGATAAGATAAGAATATCGGAGGAAGATTCGAGGCTCGCTTACCTGGCTGAACTTGACGTCCCAGTGCAGTCCGTTTCGCGTTCGAGGCGGCGGCGAATGAGCCGCGACTGTCTTCAGCCTCAGAGCTCTACCGCCTCGTCTCTTGCCGTGCCAGACCGCCGTGTTCAATTCCGGATCGCTCTGATGCAGAGCCCACAGCACCCTGATGGTATCCCCCTAAAATCATCGAAACGAACCCCGTCATTGAAAGCGACTTCTTCGTCCTCTTCGTCTTCCGAGGAGGAGGACCTCCACCGCCGCGACCGGCGGCGCATTGTCTCTCGCGAGTATTAACGAGCGGGCTTTACAGCGTTTCGATTTTTTCTCCCTTTCCTTCTTTTCCCTTTCATTTTCCGTTTTTCTCTCCTGTCTCTTTTGATACTTTGCACGCCGAGGCAAAAGATACGCGAGATATTATCTCGCAGGGATTATGGTGGCATGACTGCAGTTAGGATCGGATACGTTGATTGCCGGAGGTTTGCGCCACGGCGAAAGGGGGCAGACGGCATGCTAAACGCCTAAATACCGCCGCGGGAATTCGAGACAGCGGGGCCCGAGGGCCTCTTAAAGCCGCGGGGCCTCTGCTCGCCAGGCATAAATCGAAAGAGGGTTCTCCGCGAATTCTACGGCGAGCCGCGGCGGTTGTACAGTAAATCTTCCGGGCCGGTCCTCCTTCTCTCACCCCCCTATCTCTTCCTCTCTCCTTCTCTCACACACACACACACACTCTCTCTCTCTCTCTCTCTCTCTCTCTCTCTCTCTTTCTCTCGTCCTTTCGGGCCTCTTAAGGACCTCCGTTCGGTACGCCGCAGCGAGATGTACACAGCGCGCGGGTTTGCTTTCTTTGCACGCGTTTTAATTACAGAGTAACGGATTAGCATCGGATAGAGGTCGGAAGCGGATAGAGGTCGGAAGGTAATTTGGCATTAGTGAGGCGCGATAAATTTCCGGCTCTCGCTGCGTTAATGCACGCCACAGCCCGCGAGAATCACCGTCCGGGCGAGAGGCTCCTTTCAATTACACGTGATATTATTGGAGGACCCCCAGGAGAGGCTTGAGATGCGTAAGATTTATCTCCAGCCGGCACTGCGTGTGACGCTCGAGATGAGACCTCGTGGTTTCCAATCGTGGTAGCTTTTAATTCAAGCCGACTCGCGTGATCTTTCATTCTTATCGCGCGCAATTTAGACGCCTACGGCGATTATTTATGCACGAAGGAAGGTAGCATCGCGCGACCGCTTTCTCTCTCTCTCTCTCTCTCTCTCTCTCTCTCACTTTAGGAAATTGTTCACTCGGCCAGTAAGAAAACTTCGTTTGGTAGGCACAGAGTCGAGGCCGCTCGTGACGATAAATATTAACGCAATGATCGCCCGCTGAGATTACACTTTCAGCATGAAACACTCACCGTGAGCTGGTGATCCTGGGGATCGCATGTGTGCCACTTCCTGGAGAACGTCACGGTGGTGTGCGTCCCGTTTTGCGAGCCAGCGAGCACTCGCACGTCCTGGGACGTGTCAGTAACCGGCGCTGCTTTCAGCTCGTCGATGCCATGCGAGTCCTGGAACACAAAGAGGCCGAGGGAGATGTTAGAATCGTCGAGGGGGTTCAACGTACCCACGGCCGAAGCGGGGCCCGCGGGCCCCGAAACTCGCTCCTTGTCGGTATTGGGCGAGATCGAGGGAGCTTTATCGGGTCAGATGAGCGCCAGGTGTTCGTTGACGTCGGCGGCGAACTGGGACTCCACGGGTCCTTCTGTCCGGGGCGCAATTTGTCTCTCCGTCCTTACCTACTTTCTCTTTTACCTCGCCAACCGCACGGCGACGGATACGTTATCCTTCGTTACCGCTTTTCGTCGCCTTTTACTCCCTGTCCCGTTTTAATAGCGCAATGTATACAATCGCACTTTGATCGTCACAATGGAGAGGATGTGGCGGCGCCAATTTCAGTGAGCTCATTTACACCGCGATCATCGTGCACACGTTTTGTGCACACGAGTTTTTTCAAGTCGACTTTCGGAACCGATTATCCCTGCGTCAGGATGCGTCGCGCTCGTTGGCGCTTCGGGCACACAAGTCGCAAGTTGCTTCACAAGCAGCTGATTTAATCCCGAAGAAAGAAATGCGGCAGGATTGGCAGCCTGAGTTGGAAGTGAAAAGTTACATGTCTGAACGATCTTCGATAAATTTTTAGCGAAATTTAACGTAAGATAGAGGCGATTTGACATGAGATAGTCGATCGATTGACAACGTGGGATAAGAAACGTAATTTAATTTAAAATTGACGAAACCAACGAACGTTGTGATATTCAACGTTACGAAATTTTCCAAAGTCAACGACACGCGCGATCTCGTTCTTTCAATTTCTCATCAATCTCCCGCCGGAGTGAAGTCGACTTCAGACTCATCGAATCATTCGTGTTGGGTCTTGCTCGAGCGGTTCTGCTTTTTCGAGGAACGGGACTGCCGCCGGCCGATATTTCTCGCAGTTGCCCGGAGATAAGGCGTAGCGCGCCTTAAAAAAAGTAAAGCAGAGGGGAGGAGAGGAAGAGAAAGAGAAGGGAGAAAAACAAGTAAAAGGAGAACCGAGCTTTCCCAGCTGCTGCGGTAGCACGCGAATCGTCGAAGGGAGGCCGCGGGCGTTTGGGTCCGTCGGGCCCCGGTCACGGTGAGGCGCGCTGACGTTCGGCGTTGCGGGGCTAGGCGCGGGACGGAGGGCGGGGGGTGAGGTCCTCTTGAAGGGAAGTCCCCTTCCTGCTCGTAATGAATCCAAATAATTGCCGGAGCGTCGTCATGCCCGGCGAGGTACTGCATGCGCCACGTAACGAGCACGTGCAGAAAGGAAATAGTAATAAGCGCTTCTCTCGAAACGTCGCTAGGAACCGATGGTAGGTAGTAGGTAGTGGCGAGCAGAAGGGACGAGCGAGCGAACGAGAGGGGGCGATGCTCATTAACGTGTAAATGGTGTACGAAGTTCTCTCAGCGTCCCCGTATCTCGGTCTCTCGCGAAAATTGCACATTCTCACCTGGTCGCGCGCGACCATCCCCGCGCCATCGAGGGACTAGCGCCATCGGAATTTTATTCGCCCTGTCGCCCTGGAGTTCCGGCTAGTGAGCGTACAGGCTAGTGACCGTTCAGTCACCTCTTTTGAGCTTAACAGCGGCGAGCTGGCACGCCGCTGTTGAAACTTTTCTCCGTGCGAATATCACGAGGCTTCTACAGGCTGTCGTTCAACGACATTGCGATTTCGAGAGTTCTCGCAAATGACAGGAGAGAACGACGGATCTTGACCCGAGCGGGCCGGATCCTTGCTCACTACATTGTGTTGGCGCATGGAAATTCGAGGAGTAAACGGTGTAAGAAGTTGCGCGACCGGTAGTAAATGTCGGATAGTTTCCGATCTGGCAGTGTGATAATGAGCGGGGTTTTCATTACAATCGGTTTCGTACTCTAGGAACGAGCCGGACGGGTGTCATGATAATAGGCGTGCATAAATCTTCCCGGAAGGCCGCGCGAGAGAGAATCCTTTTTCCTCCTCCTCCCCCCTTTTTTTTTTTTCTTATTATCGCGATCAGCTCAGAGAGTCGCTGCGCTATTTCGTTCGGCGTTCGAGTGCGTTCTCATGGAGTTCGCGACGGTGTTTCTCATAGCACCCGGATATTCTCATCTCCATCGTCGGACCGTTAATTAGTACGGCCCTGGCTCGTTGTTCGGCGATTAAAAAGACTACGAGATCGGAGAGGAGGCTCTTCCTTTTTTCTTTTCTTCTAATTAACTTATTCGATCGTTAATCCGCAGGTCGGCCGCGGGATACGTTGCGGGGCGTCGGATATTCTCTCCCGAGACGACACTCCCGTTGTAATAACGCGCGGGATATATTCTGCCTCTGCGCAATCTCCAGGTGAATTTATCGGGAACAGATTCAAAACACGTTCGGGCGGCTTCGAGCGAGCGTCTGGAAACCTGTTGGGTATCTCTTCACGACGACTCTAGGAAAAGCAGTCTAAAGGGAGGAAGAAGAAAAGGAAAGAGGGAAAACGAGGGAGAAGGAGAGTGAGAGAGAGAGAAAGAGAGAGAGAGAGAGAGAGAGAGAGAGAGAGAAGGAGAGAAAGAAAATAAAAAAGAAAACACTCTCGATTCCCACGGTGGATTATCCCGGCCGTCTGCGCTACGGGGCGAAAAGTGCCGCGGAGAACGACTCGATCGTTAGACGAAAGTATTATGCAAACGATCCGCGAGCTACGAGCTGGCTCGCTCTCAAGCGCGAGACACCTGATTTTCTGCGACTCCGATGAGTCACGACGGTCGACGACGAGGAAGTCGCTGTGTACGCGCGTCTCGTGGCCCCGATTTAGGAACGGGTTTCGTCGTGCGGGATAACGAATGCGCCGTCAACGGTGTCATTACCGTAATCCTGGACGCGAACAACCGCGCTCGCTCGTCGTACGACCAGCGTCAGAGAGAGGTAGAGAGAGAGAGAGAGAGAGAGGGAGAGAGAGAGAGAGAAAGAGAGAGAGAGAGAGAGAGAGAGAGAAAGAGAGAGAGAGAGAGGCAGAAGAGAGGGAGAGAGTAGAATAGAGTAGAATTTATTTTATCCTTGGGGTTAAACCCTTTGAAGGTATAGCTGGCTAACACAAATTATATCCCCTGCCAAAGTCGAGCAATGCTTATTAACGATAGTGCAGTACGTGCGCGCGCGCTCTGTGAGAAAGAAAAATCTGTTAAGAAAGTCTAAAGCACCGGCACGCGCACATATATCAGTGTGCAGTAATTAAGCTGAAGACTGAGATAACAAAAACCGCACTGCATAATGAGTATATGTAGGAAAATTGTCTAGGAATGTAATATAATCAAATAATTTAACGTCATATAATTTAATAATTTAATTAAAGAATAATTAAATAATAATTAAATAGGAATATAAAAATGATGTTCACGCATACATACACACACACGCGCGCGCGAGCGTCCAGCAACATTATATAAAAAGAATTTACCACAAAACTCTTTGCTAAACTATTAAATACAAAAAAAAAGCTATAATTGACTTGTTATTATAGTTTAAAATTAAAAAAATGAGAAATTATTCTTCATAATAATAAGCAATTTATAGATAACAACTGAGCCATTATAACTATCGCTAGTAGCGTTATTTTAAAGGAGGCGATTAGAAAAGTTACCACGAAAGATGTGCATAAATTGGGAAAACGAAAGAAGGAGAAAGAGAGAGAGAGAGAGAGAGAGAGAAAGAGGAGGGATGTAGATAAAGTGAAGTTTATTAGGGCTTTAATTTGGTTTAAAGTTCATTAGGGCTTTAATTAACGAATGGGCGACTTCGTCGAGAGTGACAACGAACGCGGAAGGAGACGAACGGCTCGATAAAACGCGTAATCGGTAGGCGCTTCTTCGGCAAGACGTCGAGAAGGAGACGTCGAGTAGGTCGTCGATCCAGCAGGCCGACGTCTCGCAGGCGGAAAATTAATTCGGCGGATGTGACGTCACAGATCGGTACACTTCGCGCTTCCTGCGCGAGAGTCTCCTGAGAGCCTCCTCGACCGACGGCGTCACACGCGAGTTCTGCTCGCGCGAGGCGTTCCCAGGACGAACGAGGATACGGATCCTTGAGCAGTGACGTGGATCTTCCACCGGCGCGGGACATTCTTTCTCACCGCATATCTAATCAATTTCTTAGTCTCGCAGGAGGTATGTCCGCGCGTACCAGTGCCATGTGTGCAACCGCTAAGGACGTCTCTCCGAGATAGTCCTGAGAACCGTAGTCCCTTTAAAGTGGCCCAACTTGAGATAAGATACGCGTCGCTTCGTCCGTTGGATCATAAACCACTTATATCGCGATTAAGATCGATCAACTCGACTCGATGTTTCAAGGAACGGCGACGATTCGAGTCGTAATCTTCGTTTCCACGCAGGATTTTCCGCAGGACTTTGTCCCACGCACAATACGCGTCTCGGAGAAATGCGGCCGCCGCGAGACGTTTCGAGATCCCGGTTCCTGCGATCTCAGCATATTTTATGAAATGTCCTTCGATCAATGTAGCGATGCGTTCGCAAAAAAAAAAAAAGAGAGAAAAAAGAAAAAGAAAATAAGAAGAAGGTAAAGCTGCGCCGCAGCGTCGCTTTGTGTCCACGACGCGCTACGAAGACGGTTCCCATGGATCTCATGGTCCTGGAGAAAAAGGAAGGAATTTCTCCGAAGAGGCGCCACTAGGAGAAGGATACTCGCCAGGTGTTTGGGAGGTAGTCTCTTCATCCTCCATTTTCTCTTCTCTTCTCTCTCTCTCTCTCTCTCTCTCTCTCTCTCTCTCTCTCTCTCGCTTGCACCTCGTAAAGTGTGTGTGTGTGTGTATATTTGTATTGTGTGCGTGTGCATTTGGGTCGCCTTCCTCTCGCCCTTCTCCTCCTTCCTACACCTCTGTCCTCTTTCGCCCGACTCACTTCTTCGGGGTTCCTCCGCCGGCACCGCAGCTTTCTCCCTCTCACTTCTACTGGACTCACTGGAGAAACTAACCGCCGTCATCCGTCCCTCTCTCTCTTTTCTTTCTC